CCTTCACCTCACTCCTTGACCCTCAGAGCCTTCCCTCAATCCCCCCAAAATCCTTTTCCTGATCCTCTCAGCCCCTCATTTTGGCTCTTCCCTTAACCACTTCCCCATCATTTTCTATCTCTTCAGGACAAGGGTTTTTCCTCAGTTTCTCATTTTGGCTCTTCCCTCAGGGCCTTTTCCCATCATTTTTTATCTGTTCTGGCCCAAGGTTTTTCCTCACTTTTGATTTTCCCTCGGTCCCCTTCTCATTCCTTCTTTTCCTCATCCTGACACCATTCCCCGAGTCCCTTCCTTCACCTCACTCCTTGCCCCTCAGAGCCTTCCCTCAATCCCCCAAAATCCCTTCCCTGGTCCCCTCAGCCCCTCATTTTGGATCTTCCCTCAGGACCTTCCACATCATTTCCTATCTGTTCAAGCCAAGGGTTTTTCCTCAGTTTCTCATTTTGGCTCTTCCCTCAGGACCTTTCTCCCATTTTTCTTTATCCATTCTGTTCCCTTCCCTCACTCCTCACCCCATTTCTGTGTCACTCACCCTCATCCCCTCAGTCTTCTTCCCTCACCTCAGTGCCTTCCCCAGAGCTTTGGTTTGGATCTTCCCTCATTCCCTCATCATTCCTTAAACCCCTTCCTTCACCTCACTCCTTCCCCCTCAGAGCCTTCCCTCAATCCCCCAAAATCCTTTCCCTGATCCCCTCAGCCCTTCATTTTGGATCTTCCCTCAGGACCTTCCCCATCATTTTCTATCTGTTCTGGACAAGGGTTTTTCCTCAGTTTCTCATTTTGGCTCTTCCCTCAGGGCCTTCCCCCATTACTTTTTATCTGTTCTGGCAGAGTGTTTTTCCTCAGCCCCTTATTTTGGATCTTCCCTCAGACCCCTTCCTCTCGTTCCTTGTTTTCCTCACATCATTCCCTAAGTGCCCTCCTTCACCTCACTCCTTCCCCCTCAGAACCTTCTCTCAATTCCCCCAAAATCCTTTTCCTGATCCCCTCAGCCCCTCATTTTGGCTCTTCCCTTAACCACTTCCCCATCATTTTCTATCTGTTCTGGACAAGGGTTTTCCCCTCAGTTTCTCATTTTGGCTCTTCCCTCAGGGCCTTCCCCCATAATTTTTTATCTGTTTTGGCCCAAGGTTTTTCCTCAGTTTCTCATTTTGGCTCTTCCCTAAGGGCCTTCCCCCATAATTTTTTATCTGTTTTGGCCCAAGGTTTTTCCTCACTTTTGATTTTCCCTCGGTCCCCTTCTCATTCCTTCTTTTCCTCACCCTGATACCATTCCCTGAATCCCTTCCTCCACCTCACTCCTTGTCCCTCAGAGCTGTCCCTCAATTCCCCCAAAATCCCTTCCCTGATCCCCTCAGCCCCTCATTTCTTCCCTCAGCACCTTCCCCATCATTTTCTATCTGTTCAAGCCAAAGGTTTTTCCTCAGTTTCTCATTTTGGCTCTTCCCTCAGGGCCTTTCTCCCATTTTTCTTTATCCATTCTGTCCCCTTCCCTCACTCCTCACCCCATTTCTGTGTCACTCACCCTCATCCCCTCAGTCTTCTTCCCTCACCTCAGTGCCTTCCCCAGAGCTTTGGTTTGGATCTTCCCTCATTCCCTCACATCATTCCTTAAATCCCTTCCTTCACCTCACTCCTTCCCCCTCAGAGCCTTCCCTCAATCCCCCAAAATCCCTTCCCTGATCCCCTCAGCCCCTCATTTTGGCTCTTCCCTTAACCACTTCCCCATCATTTTCTATCTGTTCTGGACAAGGGTTTTTTCCTCAGTTTCTCATTTTGGCTCTTCCCTCAGGGCCTTCCCCCATTATTTTTTATCTGTTCTGGCAGAGTGTTTTTCCTCAGCCCCTTATTTTGGATCTTCCCTCAGACCTCTTCCTCTCATTCCTTGTTTTCCTCACATCATTCCCTAAGTGCCCTCCTTCACCTCACTCCTTCCCCCTCAGAGCCTTCCCTCAATTCCCCAAAATCCCTTCCCTGATCCCCTCAGCCCCTCATTTCTTCCCTCAGCACCTTCCCCATCATTTTCTATCTGTTCAAGCCAAGGGTTTTTCCTCAGTTTCTCATTTTGGCTCTTCCCTCAGGACCTTTCTCCCATTTTTCTTTATCCATTCTGTCCCCTTCCCTCACTCCTCACCCCATTTCTGTGTCACTCACCTTCATCCCCTCAGTCTTCTTCCCTCACCTCAGTACCTTCCTCAGAGCTTTGGTTTGGATCTTCCCTCATTCCCTGACATCATTCCTTAAACCCCTTCCTTCACCTCACTCCTTGCCCCTCAGAGCCTTCCCTCAATCCCCACAAAATCCTTTTCCTGATCCCCTCAGCCCTTCATTTTGGATCTTCCCTCAGGACCTTCCTCATCATTTTCTATCTGTTCTGGACAAGGGTTTTCCCCTCAGTTTCTCATTTTGGCTCTTCCCTCAGGGCCTTTTCCCCACCATTTTTTATCTGTTCTGGCCCAAGGTTTTTCCTCACTTTTGATTGTCCCTCAGTCCCCTTCTCATTCCTTCTTTTCCTCACCCTGATACCATTCCCTGAGTCCCTTCCTTCACCTCACTCCTTGCCCCTCAGAGCCTTGCCTCAATCCCCCAAAATCCCTTCCCTCATCCCCTCAGCCCCTCATTTCTTCCCTCAGGACCTTCCACATCATTTTCTATCTGTTCTGGACAAGGGTTTTTCCTCAGTTTCTCATTTTGGCTCTTCCCTCAGGGCCTTTCTCCCATTTTTCTTTATCCATTCTGTCCCCTTCCCTCACTCCTCACCCCATTTCTGTGTCACTCACCCTCATCCCCTCAGTCTTCTTACCTCACCTCAGTACCTTCCTCAGAGCTTTGGTTTGGATCTTCCCTCATTCCCTCATCATTCCTTAAATCCCTTCCTTCACCTCACTCCTTCCCCCTCAGAGCCTTCCCTCAATCCCCCAAAATCCTTTCCCTGATCCCCTCAGCCCTTCATTTTGGATCTTCCCTCAGGACCTTCCCCATCATTTTCTATCTGTTCTGGACAAGGGTTTTTCCTCAGTTTCTCATTTTGGCTCTTCCCTCAGGGCCTTCCCCCATAATTTTTTATCTGTTTTGGCCCAAGGTTTTTCCTCACTTTTGATCCTTCCTCAGTCCTCTTCTAATTCCTTCTTTTCCTCACCCCTCACATCATTCCCTGAGTCCCTTCCTCTACCTCACTCCTTCCCCCACAGAGCTGTCCCTCAATCCCCCCAAAACCCCTTCCCTGATTCCCCTCAGGACCTTTCCCCCATATTTCATTATCCATTCTGTCCCCTTCCCTCATTTCCTCACTTTTATGTTCCTCACCTCAGTGCTTCCCTTCAGCCCCATCCCTGTTCCTGATGTCCCCTTGTCCCCCATGGATTGGGATACCCCCGAAGTCCCTCACGGGGTGGCCACACACACACAAATGGATGATTAAGCAGAAAAAAGAAGACAAATAATTCAGTTTTTCTGCACCACCTGGAATGTGAGTAGTTGTGGGAAGAGCTGAGGTCAGGTATGGAGAGGCTGAGGGGATCAGGAAGGGGATTGAGACAAAATACTGAGGGAGAAGGACTGAGGGGAGGGAAGGGGCTCTGGCCATGATGCAAAGTGTGAGGGATAAGGGAAGGAATTTTGGGACTGAGAAAAGGCCCAAAACAACGAACTAAGGGAAAATATCTGGGGGGAAAGACCGAGGTGAGAAAAGGAGCTCTGGCCATGATGTAAGGGGATAAGGGAAGGAGTTTGGGGACTGAGGGCAGATCCAAAACATAGTTCTGGAGAAGGCGCTGAGATGAGAGCTCAACGCAGAAAAATGAGGGAAAGGGCAGCGGGAAGAGCTGAACAATATGTGAGTTGGTCAGGAAGGGAATTGGGGAAACTGCGGGAAGACCCAAAAGAGGGAAAATAGTGATAGGGAGGGAGGGAAGGAAGGAAGGAGGGAAGGACTGAGGAGGAGAAAAGGGCCTCTCTCTCCCCATGATGTGCGGGGATGAGGGAAGGGGCAGTGGGAAGAGCTGAACAATCAGTGAACTGGGGGAAACTGAGGGAAGACCCCAAAGCGGGAAAACACTGCTGGGGAAAGGCTGAGGAAGAGAAAAGGGCCTCTCCCGATGATGTGCGGGGATGAGGGAAGAGGCAGCGGGAAGAGCTGAAGTCAGGCATGGAGGGGCTGAGGCACGGAAGAGGAAAAGCCGGCTGCGGCCAGCCGAGGGCCGGTGACCGCGGGAAGAGGAAAACCCGCGGGCGGCCCCTCGCTGTCTTTCCGGTTCAGTTTTCACTTTCTGTTTTTTTCCCCGCCGCTCCCGCCCCTCATCCCCTCCTTCCCTCCCTCCTTCCCTCCTTCTCTCCCTCCTCCCTCGCTCGCTCCGTCCTTCCACTTCCTGGGGCTGGCGGATGGCGGCGGCCGCCCCGCACCGCCCGCACCGCCCGATGCCGCCGGCCCGGTAGCGGCGCCGCGCCGGGGCCGGGCGGGGCGGCCATGAGGGCGGCCTGAGGGGCCCGAGCGAGCCCCGGCCATGGGCGAGAGGCGGCGCGGGGACAGCGGCGAGCCGGGCACGGGTAAGCGGGGCCGGGGGGAGAGAGCGGGCGGCTCCATCGCGCCCTTCCCGGCCAGCGGGGCGGTGGTTACCGGCTTCGTGCCGCTCTGCCTTCAGCGAGGGAAAGGCGACCGGCTGCGTGCCGCTCTTCTATGGGAGAAGCTTTTCCTTATGAGGGGGGGATTAGCGGCTCCGTGCCGCTCTTCCTTTGCCGAGGGGAAGGCGACCGGCTCCATCGTGCCTTTCCTTAAGGAAAGGAGGGTTCCCAGCTCCATTTGCCCTTCCTTAAAGAGAGAAGGGTTCCCAGCTCCATCGTGCCTTTCTTTAAGGAAAGGAGGGTTCCCAGCTCCATTTGTCTGTCCTTATGGAGAGAAGCGTTCCGATCTCCATCGCGCCTTTCCTTAAGGAGATGAGGATTCCCGGCTCCATTTGCCCGTCCTTAAGGAGAGAAGAGTTTCCAGCTCCATAGTGCCTTTCTTTAAGGAGAGGAGGATTCCCGTTTCCATCGCGCCTTTCCTTAAGGAAAGGAGGATTCCCAGCTCCATCGTGGTTTTCCTTAATGGGAGGAGGATTCCCAGCTCCATTTGCCCTTCCTTAAAGAGAGAAGGGTTCCCATCTCCATCGTGCCCTTAAGGAGAGGAGGATTCCCAGTTCCATCGCGCCTTTCCTTAAAGAAAGGAGGATTCCCGGCTCCATCGTGCCTTTCTTTAAGGAAAGGAGGATTCCCAGCTCCATTTGCCCTTCCTTAAAGAGAGAAAGGTTCCCATCTCCATCGTGCCCTTAAGGAGAGGAGGATTCCCAGCTCAGCTCCATCGTGCTTTTCCTTAAGGAAAGGAGGATTCCCAGTTCCATTTGCCCTTCCTTAAGGAGAGAAAGGTTCCCATCTCCATCGTGCCCTTAAGGAGAGGAGGATTCCCAGCTCAGCTCCATCGTGCTTTTCCTTAAGGAAAGGAGGCTTCCCAGTTCCATCGTGCTTTTTCTTAAGGAGAGGAGGATTCCCAGCTCCATTTGCCCTTCCTTAAAGAGAGAAAGGTTCCCATCTCCATCGTGCCCTTAAGGAAAGGAGGATTCCCAGTTCCATCGCGCCTTTCCTTAAGGAAAGGAGGATTCCCCGCTCCATCCCTCCCTTCCCTGGGGGGGATTACCGCCTCCATCCCGCCCGTCTCTGGCAAGCAAAGGGTTACCTCTCCATCGCTCTTTTCCCCAGGAAAAAGACGATTTACCGGTTCCATCCCGCCCTTCGGCGGGGAGCAGAGCCTTTAGCGGCTCCATCCCGCCCTTCACAGGGTAAAGGAGCGTTCCCGGCTCCATCCCGAGCTCCTGGCAGGCTCGGATGTGTAGGAACCATCTGGTTTTGAGATTTTTCTAACTCACCAGCGACACGTTGGCTTTTCCAAGTGCTTGATCCCAAGGCCTGAGCGGCTGGAAAAGTCACGGTGCTTTTTTGGAAACACGTGGGTGCCTTTCAGGAGTGGGGTTTGGGAATAAAAGCAGCATGGATGGGTGATGATCTTTGTCTGGAGGGGCTGGAGGAATCTCGGTCCTGCTTTGGAACAGCTGCAAGGCTGAAATTTAGCTTTGTAAGGGGAGAAAAAGACGTTTGTGCTCTGCTCTTGCACAATTCTAATCCCAGATTGTCCTCAAATTATCCCACAGAGGTTTGGATTGCAGCAGAGCTTGCCCAGCTCTAGGATAATCTGGGATAGATGAAGCAAGCAGCAGGTTGGATGGCACAAAAATAATTGTAAATCATAAATTGCTCCATAGAAACCATTTTTTTTTCATACAAAAACGTGCATTCTCTGATGATCCAGAATGGTGCAGGAGGTGCTCTGCTATTTTTTTGGGCTACTCAGGTCAGAACATAAAATTAATGGATTTACCCCAAGTCTTTGATAAAATGGATATTTCTTAGTGCAGCTTCAAACTCATTTTGGTTTTTATAAAACGTGGGGTTTTGCTGTGGTCCAGTCTGGAAATCACTGCTCTGCTCTAGAAGGAATTTTTTATGTAAGCTCTGTTCTGAAGTGTCTGATTTCACAGAAATTGTTGTTTTCCAGCAAAAAAAAAAAATGTTTATCAGAGCATTTCAGAAACTCTTATCTCCTCTGGTAAGGATTTTGATTAATTACAGTTAATTGCCTTGCACCAGAGGCTGTTAGGTGGCTCTGAAATTTGTTTTAGGCATAATTTGCTTTATTTCTTTTTAGTGTTCCTCTTAAACCTGCAGTTTTTGACAACAGCAGAGCCAGCTTGAATATTCCCCATTCCCAGATCTTCACCCACAATATTCCTTAAAATCCCACCTTGGGATTTTCTTTCCCAAAGTGACCAACTCCTTGTTTTTGCTTAGAATCCCTTTGAGACCAGAAAGTGAAATGTTGATTTTTCTGGGGGGATAAATTCTGGTTTTTGCCCAATCTGGAATGTTTTTTTGGTGGTGAAACCCCAATAATTCTGAGGGAATCTTTGGATTTGAGTGCTTAGCTTTGGTTGTTTTTATTGGGAAACCCTAGAATTTTCCAGGGAGAAAATTCCAACTTCTCATCCAGCTTGACTGCCCAAGGAGGTTTTGGGGTTTTTTTTTTCCCTTAATTTTTCCATCTGATGGTACAGCAAGAGAGGCTCCATCATTTCTCCACCAGGCTGAATTTTTCCAGCTTTTCCCTTCTGGATTAAACATTCCCTTTGGAATTCTTTTGCTGGAGCCAAACAAAAGAACAAAAGGAGCAAAATTCCAGGTGGGAATTTGGAAACACCCGGATTTGCTGCAATTTCTGATGACACAGTTAGGTTTTTTTTTTGTTTTGTTTTATTTTGCTTTTTAAAAAACATAATGCAGGAACATCATTCTCCCTTCCCATGAGGAAACTGCTAAAATTCCCTGCCCATCCAGTGGGATTTGGATTTTGCTGGGAGATCAAATCAGAGCTCTTTGAAGGTTGCAGAGTGTCCTGAAAAGATGCCAGGAATTCCCTGCAGCACCTAAACCCCATCCAAATAAATCCTGTCAGGCCCTAAAAAACATCCTGCAGCCTCCATATCCTCATTCCTTTTCCATGGAGAAATCTTCCCTAAAATCCAACCCAAACCTCCCCTGGCACAGCTGGAGGGATGAAAAATCGGATCAGGGAATGCTGAGCTGTTCCAGAGCATGGAATTCCCAGCTGGAATCAGCCCTGGGTGATTGAGAAAATAATATTGGGGGAAAAAAATTGGGGAAAAAAAATTGGAAATCCAGTCCAGCACCTGGTTTTGCTTAGGAACAACCACCTTGGCTCACTGAGTTAAAAACAACAAAAGAAATGATCCCACCCCAAACCAGGATGTAATTCCCAAGTTTAGGGCCAGGGAGGATTAATTCAGGAATGTAGAGCTGCATCCTGAAAACTCCATTTCCTGAGGAAAAGCTGGAATTGTTGCATTTGTGGGTTGTTTTTATTCCTCATTGCAGCATCCTGGGGCAAGACCTCCAGGAAACACAGGGAAACATCGGCCCAGTTTATTCCAGAGGTTTGGTTCTGTGGGGAAAAGCTGGGAGAGGGGAATTCCAGAGTTGGAAAAACCCTGGGAATTCCAATCCAGCCGTTCCCACCCCTGCCAAGGCCACCGCTGCTGTCCCCAGTGTCACTTCCAGCTTTTAAATCCCTCCAGTGCCCTGGGCAACCTCTTTTTAGGGGGGAAATATTCCCTCATATCCAGTTTTTCCTAAAATTTCTGTTGCTACCATTCCACTCAGCAAACAGCTCCCAGGAGTGGGATCAGCTGGAGAAGGAAAATCCCTGGATCTCAGCTGGAAAAGGAAAAAAAAAAACCCCTCTGGATCAGCCAAGGGGAAACTCTGTTTTTTCTGGGAGATCTCCCACAGGGAAAGAAGGGAATTGGGATAAGAGGAATTAAACGCCAAAAGAATTTGGGAAAGATGATCCCAAGGAATCTCTGGAAGAACCAAACTGCTTTTTGGGGTACTCATGGTAGGATAAAAAGCTCCTGGATTTCTCCCAAATTTTGGTGTAAATTCGCAGTGGGATGTGGTGGTGCCAGAGCTGATCCTGCTGCTGATTCCCAATATTCCAGTTCATTCCAAGCTTGGGATCAAGCCAAGATAATTGTTAGGGCGTGGGATTTTGAGGATTTGACAGCATCCAAATGTCTGCAGTGAATGCTACTCACACTTCAAGGTTAAAAAATTTAAAAAAAAATAAAATAAGTGAAATTCTGCATTTCCAAAGCCTGGAGTTTTCCTGCTGGGCTGGGCAAACTCCCTTGGAAGTTGCTGAGTGCTGAGGCAGAGATCCCAGAAAAAGGGATGAGCCGAAGGAAAATCCTGGATTTTGGAAGTCCATGGCCTGAGCTGAGCCAGGGGAGGTTTGGACTGGATTTTGGGGAATATTTCCCCATGGAAAAGGTGATCAGGCATTGGAGCTGCCCAGGTGGAGTCCCCATTCCTGGGGGGATTTAAAGCCTGTGGATGTGCCCATTCCTGTGCCACCCGTGCTGTCTGATCCCATTCCTGGAGGTTTTCCCAATGGATCTGGTGCCATTCCCAAGTTTCTCCTTCCCTCAAAGCCATTCCCAAGTTTTTCTCAATTTCCCAGAGTGCCAATCCCAAGTTTCTCCTTCTTTCCTTCTCCTTCTTCCCAAGTTTTTCCTTCTATTCTTTCTCTTGACTTTTCCCCACGTATCCAGTGTCATTCCCAAGTTTTCCCCAGCGCCATTCCCAAGGTTCCCATTCCCAGAGTGCCATTTCCAAGTTGGTCCTTCTCTGAGTTTTTCACCGTGGATCCTGTGCCATTCCCAAATTTCTCAATTTCCCTGAGTGCCATTCCCAAGTTTCTCATTCCCTGACTTTTACCCACAGATCCAGAACCATTCCCAAGTTTCACCCCATGGATCCAGCACCATTCCCAAGTTTCCCATTCCCAAGTTTCCCCCACGGATCCGGTGCCATTCCCAAGTTTCTCCTTCCCTCAGAGCCATTCCCAAGTTTCTCCTTCCCAGAGTTTGCCTCATGGATCCGGTGCCAATCCCAAGTTTCTCCTTCCCTCAGTGCCATTCCCAAGTTTTTCTCTATTTCCCAGAGTACCAATCCCAAGTTTCTCTTTCTTTCCTTCTCCTTCTTCCCAAGTTTTTCCTTCTCTTCTTTCTCTTGACTTTTCCCCACAGATCCAGTGTCATTCCCAAGGTTCCCATTCCCAGAGTGCCATTTCCAAGTTGGTCCTTCTCCGAGTTTTTCACCGTGGATCCAGTGCCATTCCCAAATTTCTCAATTTCCCTGAGTGTCATTCCCAAATTTCTCATTCCCTGACTTTTATCCACAGATCCAGAACCATTCCCAAGTTTCACCCTATGGATCCAGTGCCATTCCCAAGTTTCCCATTCCCAAGTTTCCCTCATGGATCTGGTGCCATTCCCGAGTTTCACCCCATGAATCTGATGCCATTCCCAAATTTCCCCCATGGATCCAGCACAATTCCCAAGTTTCCCATTCCCAAGTTTCCCCCACGGATCCGGTGCCATTCCCACATTTTTCACTTTCACTTTCCCTTCTGCCGTGGCCACTTTCACTTTCACCTTCTGCTCCTGCCCTGGCATGTGCCAGGATTTGGGATTTTTTTTTTCCTGGGAATTTTTTTCCTTAGGGTTGGGATCCATCTTCCCTAAATCCAGGAGGGAATTGAGGGCTGCAGCCACTTGGGCTCAGTTCCCTCTCATTAATTAATTTATTAATTATTTTTAAATTATTTTTATCCCCTGTCTGGATTTTTATTTTGAAGCTGCATTTAGGGAGAAAATATTGGAGCGGTCACCTGCAAAATTCCCAGATTTTGTGTTGTATTCCTAAGAGTTTTCAATACTTTTTTTTTTTTTACCTTTGTCTCTGAAAATATCTGATATTTTCCAGAAAAAGTTGTTTAATAAAGAATTAAATAATTATGCATATAAATGATAATATAAATTAATGATATAATTAGTTAATTTTAACTAGCTAGTTATATATGTGACATTTAAAGTTAATGGTACAATTATATTAACTGATTTTTATACTTTCGTAATTTAATAATAATTTATTAATTTACAATTCACGACTTTATAAATGATTTTGCTTCTGGCAATTGCTGCAGATTTTTTTTGGGATGAACCCGGAGCTCAGATCCCTTTTTCCAAAGCCTGTTTTAATCCCAGAAAATTTGGGATTTGGATGGCAGCAAGCCACACCCTTGCACCACCTAATCCTGAATCCCCACATTGACCTGGCAATTCCCACCTGGAATATTTCCCTTTTTTCCATCCTGAACCCTAACACTGATCTGGCAATTCCCACCTGGAATATTTCCCTTTTTTCCATCCTGAATCCCCACATTGATCTGGCAGTTCCCACCTGGAATATTTCCCTTTTTTCCATCCTGAATCCCCACATTGATTTGGCATTTCCCACCTGGAATATTTCCCTTTTTTCCATCCCAAATCCCCACATGGATTTGGCAATTCCAAGCTGGAATATTTCCCTTTTTTCCATCCTGAATCCCCACATTGATCTGGCAATTCCCACCTGGAATATTTCCTTTTTCTCCATCCTGAATCACACATTTATCTGGCAATTCCCGCCTGGAATATTTCCTTTTTTCCATCCTGAATCCCCACATTGATCTGGCAATTCCCATCTGGAATATTCCCTGTTTTCCCCAGAATTTCCATGGAACCTCAGGAGTCTCTCTGGTAATTCCCACCTGGAATATTTCCCTTTTTTCCATCCTGAATCACACATTTACCTGGCAATTCCCACCTGGAATATTTCCCTTTTTTCCATCCTGAATCCTAACACTGATCTGGCAATTCCCACCTGGAATATTTCCCTTTTTTCCATCCTGAATCCCCACATTGATCTGGCAATTCCCAGCTGGAACATTCCCTGTTTTTCCTGGGGATTCTCCCTTTATCCTAAGGAGCTTTTCTGGCAATTCCCAACTGGAACATTCCCTGTTTTCCAGGATTCCAGCTGGATCCTGAGCAGCCGGGTTGCTCCCAGCTGGAACATTCCCTGTTTTTCAGGATTCCAGCTGGAACATTGCCTTTTTCCAGGATTCCAGCTGGATCCTGAGCAGCCGGGCTGTTCCCAGCTGGAGCATTCCCTGTTTTCCAGGTTCCCAGCTGGAACACTCCCTGTTTTCCAGGTTCCCAGCTGGAACACTCCCTGTTTTCCAGGATCCCAGCTGGAACATTCCCTGTTTTCCAGGATCCCAACTGGAACATTGCCTTTTTCCAGGATTCCAGCTGGAACATTCCCTGTTTTCCAGGACCCCAGCTGGAACATTCCCTGTTTTCCAGGATCCCAGCTGGAACATTCCCTGTTTTCCAGGATTCCAGCTGGAACATTCCCTGTTTTCCAGGTCCCGAGCCGCCGGGCTGCTCCCTGCTGCAGCGGGCCGTGGCGCTCCTGCAGAGCTCCTCGCTGCACTCGGGCTCCCAGCACGGATTCCAGTACAGCCGCGCCATCCTGGTGGAAAACGAGCTTTTCCTCAGCGAGGTGAGCCATCCCAGGAAAAATGGGAATTTTTGGGAGTGCACACCTCTGGGAATGCTGATGTATTGCCAGCTCTGTTTCCTTTCCCTCTTGAAATTCCACAAATTTTTTTTTTTTTCCCTTCCATCCCCATCAGGAGTAAATCCATGCAGCCAATGGTGCTCAAAATTCCTGGAGTCTTGGGAATTCCAAAATCCCTTTGGAACTGGGGGAATTCCCGTCCATGGGTTGCGTTTTGCTGAGTGACCTCAAGGTGGATTTTTGGGATGTCTCTGTCTCCACTTTTCCTTTTAACCTTTTTTTTTTTTTTCCATCTGGCTGGACTTTAAAAAATCTCTTCATTCCCACTTTTGAAATCCCTTCATCCCATCTCCACTTCCAAAATCCCTTTGTTCCCACTTTGGAAATCCCTTTCAAAATCCTTTCATTCTCACTTTTAAAGTCCTCACATTCCCCCTTCTCAAATCCCCACATTCCCACTTTTCAAAGCCCTGCATTCCCATTTCCACTTTTCAAATCCCCTCATTCCCACTTCCCTTCATCCCTTCATCCCCACTTTCAAATTCTCTTCATTCCCATTTTCAAAATCCCTTCATCCCCACATTCCCACTTTTAAAATTCTTAATTCCCACTTTGAAAATCCCTTCATTCCTATTTTTCAAATCACCTAATTCCCACTTTTAAAATCCCCTCATTCCCACTTTCAAAATTCCCACATTCCCACTTTCCAAATTCCCTTAATTCCCACTTTCAAAATCCCTTCATCCTCACATTGCACTTTCAAAATCCTTGCATTCCCACTTCCAAAATCCCGACATTCCCACTTTTCCAGATCCCTTCATCCCATTCCCATTGCTGATTTCTCCTGTTGCTGTCACTTTTTATTTTCCTCACACCTCATTTTTTTGGGATCACAAGTCTCAGGAATTAAACCACATCCAGCTGTTATTCCAGCTGTGCTGAGCCAGATTACTTTTTTCCCCTAATCCTGAAAAAAAAAAAAAAAAAAAGTGGGAAAAGAATTTTTTTCTGGGATCAGCATCCCCTGAGACCAAAATTTTGGGATTTTTTTCCCAGCTCCGAGCTTTTGCACGAGCCAAGGCAGCTGCAGGATACAGCCAGGAGGAGCTGCAGGAGACCTTTGCATTCCTGCTCTTTGACAAGGAGGAGGAGGTAACCTGGAATGGGATTTTCCATGGAAATCTGGGATCCAATCCCTGCTTTTTGTCCCATCACACCCAGGAGGTTCAGTGGGGCGGTTCCCAGGGAAATTCCTGCTGGGAAAAACTCTGGGAGCAGCTCCTGGGGGCTTTGGGATGGGAGAAAAAGGGAATTTTCCATGGTGCCCATGGGATTCTTTGGGATTCTTTGGAATTCTTTGGCTCCTGGGTGATTTTAGGGATGGATCTGGTTGGACAAAAGTGAATTTTCCTTTGTGCCCGTGGGATCCTTTGGAGTTCTTTGGGATCCTTTGGAGTTCTTTGGGATGATTTGGAGTTCTTTGGGATGATTTGGGAATTCCTTGGGATTCTTTGGAGTTCTTTAGGATTCTTTGGAGTTCTTTGGGATTCTTTGGAGTTCTTTGGGATTCTTTGGAGTTCTTTGGGATTCTTTGGAGTTCTTTGGGATTCTTTAGAGTTCTTTGGGATGATTTGGGATTATTCGGGATGATTGGGGATTATTAAACTCTTGAGGGACTTTAGGTATTGATCTAATTGGAGAAAAAGGAATTTTCCTTGGTGCCAGTGAAATTATTCAGAATAATTTGAAATTACTTGAAATTCCTCATTTCCTGGGTATATTTCTGATTTCCTGGGAACATTAACACCCTTTATCACCCAGTACCTGATTTCCTGGGAATGTTTCTCATTTCCTGGGAATATTTTTGCTTTCCTGGGAATATTAGCACCCTTTATCACCCGATACCTGATTTCCTGGAAATATTTCTGATTTCCTGGAAGTTAATCCTGGAAGAAAGGTGGGAAAAGAGGAATTTTCCCGTTCCTTGCAGGCCCAGCGGGTGTGTCAGAGCGGGCTCCGTGTCAACAGCAGCAACATCTCCACCCTGGGGGACCCTGCCAAAGGTAAATCCCACCTGGAGCAGCAAATCCCAACTCTGGGAATGAAACTGATTCCAGATTCCTTCAAATCCCCACTCTGGGAATGAAACTGCTTCCAGATTCCTTCAAATTCCCACTCTGGGAATAAACTCCTTCCAAATTCCTTCCAAATTCCCATTTTGGCAATAAAGCTCCTTCCAAATTCCCATTCTGGGAATGAAACTCTTTCAAAATTCCTTCAAATTCCCACTCTGGGAATGGAACTGCTTCCAGATTCCTTCAAATTCCCACTCTGGGAATGAAACTCCTTCAAAAAAATCCCCACTCTGGGAATAAAGTCCTTCTAAATTCCCATTTTGGCAATAAAACTCCTTCCAAATTCCCATTCTGGGAATAAAACTCCTTCCAGATTCCTTCCAATTATCCACTCTGGGAATAAAAATCCATCAAAACTCCTTCAAATTCCCATTTTGGGAATGAAACTCTTTCCAAATTCCCTCTCTGTGAATGAAACTCCTTCCAGATTCCTTCAAATTTCCATGCTGGGAATGAAACTGCTTCCAGATTCCTTCAAAATTCCCATTTTAGGAATAAAACTTGTTCCAAAACTCCTTCAAATTCCTATTTTGGGAATGAAACTAGTTCCAAATTCCCATTCTGGGAATAAAAACCAGCAAAGCTCTTTCAAAACTCCTTCCAAATTCCCACTCTGGGAATGAAACTCCTTCCAAATTCCTTCAAACTCCCACTTTGGGAATGAAACTGCTTCCAGATTCCTTCCAAATTCCCATTTTGGCAATAAAGCTCCTTCCAAATTTCCCCTCTGGGAATGAAACTCCTTCCAAATTCCTTCCAAATTCCCACTCTGGGAATAAAGTCCTTCCAAATTCCTTCCAAATTCCCATTTTGGAAATAAAACTCCTTCTAAAATCCTTCCAAATTCCCATTCTGGGAATAAAATCCTTCAAAACTCCTTCAAATTCCCATTTTGGGAATAAGCTCCTTCCAAATATCAACTCTGGGAATAAAATTCCTTCCAAATTCCCATTTTGGGAATAAACTCCTTCCGAAGTCAAAGCAAGAGGTCAAAATTCCTGGGTTTTGCTGCAAAAATCCCTGGAAAATTCCCTTTTTTTCCTGCTCCTTCAGGCAGATGAAGATGGGATTTTCCCAAGGGAATGGAAGCATTCCTTCAGCTCTTCATTTTCTGGGAATATGTGCAGTCTTTGTCCCCCAAAATGTGGTTTTCTGGGAATATTTCTCATTTTTTCTGGGAGTATGTCTCAATTCCTGGGAAAACTTCTCATTTTTCTGGGAATATTAGCCCCATAATTGATTTCTTGGGGATTTTCCTCATTTTCTGGGAATGTTTCTGATTTCCTTGGAATATTCCTGAATTTCTTGGAATATTTCTCATTTTCTGGGAGTATTAACAACCTTTGTCCCCACAAAAACTGATTTTCTTGCAATATTTTTCATTTTCTGGGAATATTTCACATTTTTCTCAGACTATTTATTTTTTTCTTGGAATGCTTTTCATTTTCTTGGAATATTTCTCATTTTCTTGGAATATTCCTAATTTTCTGGGCATATTTCTCATTTTCTGGGAATATTAACACCCTTTATCACCCAATAATTGATTTTTTTTGGGAATATTTCTCATTTTCTGGGCATATTCCTCATTTTCTTGCAATATTCCTAATTTTCTGGACATATTTCTCATTTTTCTGGAAATATTCATCATTTTTCTGGGTGTATTCCTCATTTTCTGGGAATATTAACACCCTTTATCACCCAATAACTGATTTTCTGGGAATATTCCAGAATTCCCCCTTCCCCTGCTGACAAATAATTCCCATTTTTTTTTCTTGTTTTCCAGGGGTTTATATTTCCAAGTATTCCGACTGCCTCCATGCCAGCCCTTGGCACCAAGGAAAATCAGGATTTATTGTCATCTGTAAACTCATCAAGGTAAATCCCAAATCTTTATTCCCTGGAAATCCAACTCCAAAATCCCATTTTTTCCTTGGAATTTCAGGAATTTTGGCAAGTTTGGGGGTTGTTTGGGTTTGTTTTTTTTTTCCTTCCCTTCCTGCTGTGTGGATGGATTTTTGGGAATAATTCCTGGGATTTCCATTCTTGGGATGGATTTCTGGTATTGATTCCATGGATTCCTTTGCTGGGGATGGATTTTTGGGATTGATTCCATAAATTTCCATGCTTGGGATGGATTTTTGGGAAGCACTCCATGGATTTCATTCCTTTAGATGGATTTTTGGGAAGAACTACGTGGATTTCTATACTTTGGATGGATTTTTTGGGAAGAATTCCTTGGATTTCTATCCTTAGGATAGATTTCTGGGATTGATTCCATGGATTTCCATCCTTGGGATGGATTTTTAGGAATAATTCCTGGGATTTTCATCCTTGGGATGGAATTTTGGGAAGAATTCCTTGGATTTCCATGCTTTGGATGGATTTTAGGGAAGAACTCCATGGATTTCCATGCGGGGTTGAATTTTCTGGGGATAATTCCATGGATTTCCATGCTGAGGATGGATTTTTGGGAATGATTCCATGGATTTCCATCCTTGGGAAGGACCCCATGGATTTCCATCCTGAGGATGGATTTTTGGAAAGCACTCCTTGGATTTCCATGCTTTGGATGGATTTTTGGGAATAATTCCATGGATTCCCATGCTGGGGATGGATTTTTGGGAACGATTCCGTGCCGGGGTGGATTTTTGGGAATGATTCTGTGCTGGGGATGGATATTTGGGAATGATTTCATGCCAGGATGGATATTTGGGAATGATTCCATGCTGGCGGTGGATTTTTGGGAATGATTCCATAGATTCCCATCCTTGGTTGGATTTTTGGGAATGATTCTGTGTTGGGATGGATATTTGGGAATGATTCCGTGCTGGCGGTGGATTTTTGGGAATGATTCCATAGATTCCCATCCTTGGTTGGATTTTTGGGAATGATTCTGTGCCGGGATGGATATTTGGGAATGATTCTGTGCCGGGATGGATTTTTGGGAATATTTCCACGCTGGGATGGATTTTTGGGAATATTTCCATGCTGGGATGGATTTTTGGGAACGATTCCGTGCTGGGATGGATTTTCAGGAACAATTCCATGCCGGGGTGGATTTTCAGGAATGATTCCATGCCGTGATGGATTTTTGGGAATATTTCCGTGCCGGGATGTGTTTTTGGGAACATTCTCACGCCGGGATGTGTTTTTGGGAATATTCTCACGCCGGGACGTGTTTTTGGGAATATTCTCATGCTGGGATGTGTTTTTGGGAATATTATCACTCCGGGATGTGTTTTTGGGAATATTTCCACACCGGGATGTGTTTTTGGGAACATTTCCACACCGGGATGTGTTTTTGGGAATATTTCCACACCGGGATGTGTTTTTGGGAACATTTCCACACCGGGATGTGTTTTTGGGAATATTCTCACGCCGGGATGTGTTTTTGGGAATATTTCCACACCGGGATGTGTTTTTGGGAATACTCTCATGCCGGGATGTGTTTTTTGGGAATATTCTCACCGGGATGTTCCTGCGCAGGGCAAGGTGCGGGCGCTGCCCGCGAGCGCCCCCAGCGGCTCCCCCGGCCCCTCGCCCGGCTACGACTGCCACGAGGCCACCGGCAGCAGCCAGGTACCGGGATCGGCCTGATCCCAATCCCACATCCCTGGGAGCGCCCTGTTCCCAATCCCGCATCCCTGGGATTGTCCTGCTCCCGTTCCCACATTCCAGGGATTGCCCCTTTCCCAATCCCGCATCCCTGGGAGCGCCCTGATCCCATTCCTGCATCCCTGGGAGCGCCCTGATCCCATTCCCGCATCCCTGGGATTGCCCTGAGCCCATTCCCACATCCCTGGGATCGCCCTGATCCCAATCCCGCATTCCAGGGATCGCCCTGCTCCCGCTCCCGCATTCCAGGGATCGCCCTGCTCCCATTCCCACATCCCTGGGAGCGCCCTGCTTCCATTCCCGCATCCCAGGGATCACCCTGCTCCCGTTCCCACATCCCTGGGATCGTCCTGCTCCCATTCCCATATTCCCGGGATTCCCCTTGTCCGGATCCCTGGGATTTCCCTGTTTCCACTCCCACATCCCAGGGATTGCCACATCCCAGGGATTGCCCTTTTCCTGCCCCCACATCCCAAGGATTGCCCTTTTCCCGCTCCCACATCCCAGGGATTCCCTTTCTCCCAGTCCCACATTCCCGACGTTGCCCTTTTCCCGTTCCCACATTCCATGATTTCCCCGTTTTTCCCATTCCATGGATTTCCATTTTTCCCTGTCCCCCATCCCATGGATTTCCCTTTTGCCCGTGGATTTCTCTTTTGCCGGTGCCCCATTCTGTGATTCCCTGTCATCGCCATTCCATGATTCCCTTTTTTATCCTAGTATTTCATGATTATTCCCAGTTTCCCATGGATTACTCCCAGCTCCCCATGGATTACTCCCAGTTTCCCATGGATTACTCCCAGTTCCCCAGGGCTAATTCCCAGTTTCCCATGGATGATTCCCAGTTCCCCATGGACTATTCCCAGTTTTCCATGAATTATTTCCCTGTGTTCCCCATGGATTACTCCCAGTTCCTCATGGATTACTCCCAGTTCTCCATGGATTATTCCCAGTTTCCCATGGATTACTCCCAGTTCCCCATGGATTACTCCCAGTTCCCCATGGACTGTTCCTAGTTTTCCATGAATTATTTCCCTGTGTTCCCCATGGATTACTCCCAGTTCCCCATGGATTACTCCCAGTTCCCCATGGATTACTCCCAGTTCCCCATGGATTACTCCCAGTTCCCCATGGCTAATTCCCAGGTTCCCATGGTAATTCCCAGTTTCCCTGCTTCCCCTCTCTCCCCAGTACTACATGTACCCCATTCCCATGGATGATTCCCAGTTTCCCATGGATGATTCCCAGTTTCCCATGGATTACTCCCAGTTTCCCATGAATTATTGTGTTCCCCATGGATTACTCCCAGTTTCCCATGGATTTCTCCCAGTTTCCCATGGACTTCTCCCAGTTTCCCATGAATTATTGTGTTCCCCATGGATTACTCCCAGTTCCCCATGGACTGTTCCTAGTTTTCCATGAATTATTTCCCTGTGTTCCCCATGGATGATTCCCAGTTTCCCATGGATTACTCCCAGTTTCCCATGGATGATTCCCAGTTTTCCATGAATTATTGTGTTCCCCATGGATTACTCCCAGTTTCCCATGGATTACTCCCAGTTCCCCATGGATTACTCCCAGTTTCCCATGGATTACTCCCAGTTCCCCATGGATTACTCCCAGTTCCCCATGGCTAATTCCCAGTTTCCCATGGTGATTCCCAGTTTCCCTGCTTCCCCTCTCTCCCCAGTACTACACGTATGAGGTGAGTGGGGTGAATTCCCTGTTCCCCATGGATTATTTCCCTGTGTTTCCCATGGCTAATCCCCAGTTCCCCGTGGTTTGTTCCCCATTCCCGTGGCTGATTCCCAGTTTCCCGTGGTTTATTCCCCATTCCCGTGGCTGATTCCCAGTTTCCCATGGCTGTTCCGTGTTTTTCCCCAGTACTACGTGTACGAGGTGAGCGGGGCGGCGGCGGCCGAGCGTCCCCGCCAGGTGTGTCCGTACGTGCTGCTGGCCTGCCAGTACCGCCCGGCCCGGGAGATGGCCCCGCCCAGCCCGTGAGAGACTCAGCCCTCCCAAATCCGCCCTCTTCCCATCCCTGCAACTCCTTCTCGTCCTTCTCCCACCCCTGGCATTCCTTCTCGTCCTTCTCCCACCCCTGGCATTCCTTCTTATCCTTTTCCCCATCCCTGCAACTCCTTCTCGTCCTTCTCCCACCCCTGGCATTCCTTCTTGTCCTTTTCCCCATCCCTGCAACTCCTCCTCGTCCTTCTCCCACCCCTGGCATTCCTTCTCGTCCTTCTCCCACCCCTGGCATTCCTTCTTCCCCTTCTCCCCATCCCTGAGATTGCTCTGTGTCCTTTTCCCCATCCAATATCCCTTTTTGTCCTTTTCCGATCCCTGACATTCCTTCTTGTCCTTTTCCCCATCCCTGCAACTCCTTCTCGTCCTTCTCCCACCCCTGACATTCCTTCTTGTCCTTTTCCCACCCCTGGCATTCCTTCTTCCCTTCTCCCACCCCTGACATTCCTTCTTCCCCTCCTCCCCATCCCTGCAACTCCTCCTCATCCTTCTCCCATCCCTGGCATTCCTCCTTGTCCTTTTCCCCATCCAGTATCCCTTTCTGTCCTTCTCCCCATCCCTGCAATTCCTTATTATCCTTCTCCCCATCCCTGACATCCCTTCTTGTCCTTTTCCCCATCCCTGACATTCCTTCTTCTCCTCCTCCCCATCCCTGAGATTGCTTTGTGTCCTTCTCCCCATCCAATATCCCTTTTTGTACTTTTCCCATCCCTGCAATTCCTTCTTGTCCTTCTCCCATCCCTGACATTCCTGTTCTTCTCCCATCCCTGAGATTCCTTTTTGTGCTTTTCCCATCCCTGAAATTCCTCCTTGTCCTTTTCCCCATCCAATATTCCTTTTTATTCTTTTCCTATCTCCAAATATCCCTTTTTGTCCTTCTCCCCATCCCTGCAACTCCTTCTTGTCCTTCTCCCATCCCTGAGATTCCTTTTTGTCCTTTTCCCATCCCTGAAATTCCTTCTTGTCCTTTTCCCCATCCAATATCCCTTTTTGTCCTTCTCCCCATCCCTGCAATTCCTTCTTGTCCTACTCCCATCCCTGACATTCCTATTTGTCCTTCTCCCATCCCTGCAACTCCTTCTTGTCCTTCTCCCATCCCTGACATTCCTGTTCTTCTCCCATCCCTGAGATTCCTTCTTGTCCTTTTCCCCATCCCTGAAATTCCTTCTTGTCCTTCTCCCATCCCTGAAATTCCTTCTTGTCCTTCTCCCCATCCCTGAAATTCCTCCTTGTCCTATTCCCCATCCCTGAGATTCCTTTTTATCCTTTTCCCCATCCAATATTCCTTTTTATTCTTTTCCTATCTCTAAATATTCCTTTTCCTGTTTCTGAATATTCCTTTTTATTCTTTTCCCATGTCTGAACATTTTCCTTTTATTCCTTTTCTCGTCTCTAATATACCTTGTTATCCTTTTTCCATCTCTTCATATTCCTTTTATACCTTTATCTATCTCTAAAATTCCTTTTATTCCGTCTTTTCCCATCTCTGAATATTCCTTTTATTCCTTTTTCCATCTCTGAATATTCCTCTTATTTCTTTACCCATCCCTAATATTCCTTTTTATTCTTTTTCCATCTCTAAAATTCCTTTTGTTCCTTTTCCCATACCTAAATTTTTATTTTCTTTCCTCTTTTCCTATCTCTAAATTTATTCCCTCTTTTCCCATCTCTGAATATTCCTTTTTATCCTTTTCCTATCTTTAAAATTCCTTTTTATCCTTTTCCTGTCCCCAAAATTCCTTTGATTTGTTTTTATCATTTTCCCATCTCTGAATATTTTTTGGTTTTTATTGATCTCTCTCTCCAGAGCGGAGCGGAACCACCAAGGTGAGGCTGCTGGGTTTGGGGTTTTTGGATTTGGGGTTGTGGTGTTTGGGTTTAGGGTTGTGGTTTTTGAGGTTGTGGTTTTTGGGGTTGTGGTTTTTGGGTTTGGGGTTTTTGGGGTTGTGGTTTTTGGGTTTGGGGTTGTGGTTTCTGGGTTTGTGCTTTTTGGGGTTGGGGTTTTTGGGTTTGGGGTTGTGGTGTTTGGGTTTAGGGTTGGGGTTTTTGAGGTTGTGGTTTTTGGGGTTGTGATTTTTGGGTTTGGGGTTTTTGGGTTTGGGTTTGTGGTTTTTGGGGTTGTGGTTTCTGGGTTTGTGCTTTTTGGGTTTGGGGTTGTGGTGTTTGGGTTTAGGGTTGGGGTTTTTGGGGTTGGGCTTTTTGGGGTTGTGGTTTTTGGGTTTGGGTTTGTGGATTTTGGGGTTGTGGTTTCTGGGTTTGTGCTTTTTGGGTTTGTGCTTTTTGGGTTTGGGGTTGTGGTTTTTGGGGTTGGGTTGGGGTTTTTGAAGTTGGGGTTTTTGGGGTTGTGGTTTCTGGGTTTGTGCTTTTTGGGGTTGGGGTTTTGGGGTTTGTGCTTTTTGGGGTTGTGGTTTCTGGGTTTAGGGTTGTGGTTTTTGAGGTTGGGGTTTTTGGGGTTGTGGTTTCTGGGTTTGTGCTTTTTGGGGTTAAGGTTTTTGGGTTTGGGCTTGTGGTTTTTGGGGTAGGCTTTGGGCTTTTTGGGGTTGTGGTTGTGGGTTTTAGGTTTGGGGTTTTTGGGTTTGGGGGTTTTTGTGGTTGCGGTTTTTGTGTTTCTGTTTTTTGAGGTTGATATTTTTGGGTTCGGGGTTGTGGTTTTTCAGGTTGGGTTTGGGTTTTTTTTGTGGTGGTGGTTTCCGGGTTTGTGTTTTTTGAGGTTGGGCTTTTTGGGTTTGGGGTTGTGGTTTTTCAGGTTGGGTTTTGGCTCTTTGGGTTTGGGGTGTGGTTTTTGGATTTGGGGTTTTTGAATTCGTGGTTTTTGGGTTTAGGGTGTTTGGGGTTGGGGTTGGCTTTCCCCAGGGATCGTTCTCTCCTCTCTCCCCTCTCGCAGAGCCGCGGTCGCTGTCGGCGCCGTGCCCGTGGCGGGGCCAGCTGTGCATCGGGGGGCAGCGCCTCTGCACCATCGGCCTGAGGAGCCGGCACAGCGCGGGCTTAGTGCCCGCCCAGCTGTGAGTGAGCTGAGCTGGGCTTAGTGCCCTGAGCCGGGCTTAGTGCCCTGAGCTGGGCTTAGTGCCCTGAGCTGGGCTTAGTGCCCGCCCAGCTGTGAGTGAGCTGGGCTTAGTGCCCTGAGCCGGGCTTAGCACAGTGAGGGCAGCGTGCCCGCCCAGCTGTGAGTGAGCTGAGCTTAGTGCCCTGAGCCGGGCTTAGCACAGTGAGGGCAGCGTGCCCGCCCAGCTGTGAGTGAGCTGAGCTTAGTGCCCTGAGCCGGGCTTAGCACCCTGAGCCGGGCTTAGTGCCCGCCCAGCTGTGAGTGAGCTGAGCTGAGCTTAGTGCCCTGAGCCGGGCTTAGTGCCCCCCCAGCTGTGAGTGAGCCGGGCTTAGAGCCCTGAGCTGGGCTTAGCACAGTGCGAGCAGCGTGCCTGCCCAGCTGTGAGTGAGCCGGGCTTAGTGCCCTGAGCTGGGCTTACGTACCTGAGCCAGGCTTACGTACCTGAGCTGACCTTCTTAAACTGAGCCTGGCTTATCACATTGAGCCTGGCTTATGACATTGAGCCTGGCTTCTCAAACTTAACCTGATTCCTTAACCCAACTTCAGTTCCTCAAACTGAACCTGGTTTCTTAAACTGAACCTGTTTTTTTAACCTCAACCTTGTTTCTCAAACTAAACCTGGTTGTTTTTAACCTAAACCTGCTTTCTCAAACTAAACCTGTTTCTTTAACCCTAAACCTGGTTTCTCAAATTAAACCTGGTTATTTTTAACCTAAACTTGGTTTCTCAAACTAAACCTGTTTCTTTAACCCTAAACCTGCTTTCTCAAACTAAACCTGTTGTTTTTAACCTAAACCTGGTTTCTCAAACTAAACCTGGTTGTTTTTAACCTAAACCTGGTTTCTCAAACTAAACCTGTTTCTTTAACCCTAAACCTGGTTTCTCAAACTAAACCTGTTTTTTTTAACCTAGGCTTGGTTTCTCAAACTAAACCTGTTTCTTTAACCCTAAACCTGGTTTCTCAAACTAAACCTGGTTGTTTTTAGCCTAAGCCTGCTTTCTCAAACTAAACCTGTTGTTTTTAACCTAAGCCTGGTTTCTCATCTGAGCCCATTTTTTCTTTTCCTGCCTCATCCCTTTGCTGCTGGAATATTGCCTCACAGCTGGGTGAGGAGATAAAATCCTTTAAATTAATTTACTTCTGACACCTCCCCCTAAATCAGATTGCTTCAAGCCTGGCTTTAGCCATCCCAGGATCTGTGATTTGGTGATTTTCAGGATTTGCACACAGGATCCTGAGCAGGCTGTACCTTTTCCAGAGCTTTTTTTTTTTTTTTGGCTCCATGGAACTCCCAGAACTTAATCCTGAATTTTTTATGCTTTATCCCCTCAGGCCTCCCAGCCTGGACATCAAACACGTGATGGGATTGTCTGACTTGAAGAAAAAACTGCCAGAAGCTGCATTTGGGAAAAAAAATTACACTGGGAATGAAGGTGGGTGGGAAATATTGGGAAATATCCCCATTTGCAGTGCTCCCAGTAATTCCATCTCCGTGCTGCTGGGACAGAATCCATGGAAAATCACCGTCCCAAAATCCTGAATCCTTTATTTTCCCCCAGTCTGCTTTCAGGGAGTTTATTCCAGTCTCTACGAGGTGGAAATATCCAATAAGGATCAATCCAAAATGGATCAGCTGGTGGAAAATCTGAAGGAGAAGGACTTGGTGAGTGTTTTTCTGGGAGGAAAGTGGCCTTTAAATGACTTTTATTGGTGTCATTACCCACAGCCAATGCAGTGTGGAATTAATTTCCCTGCTTTAAATGTTATTTTCCTACTTCGTTGCTCTCCAACATTTATTTTTTGTGTTTATCACCTGGAGATTACACCACGAGCTGGGAATTATTTCTGCAGGTTTTTATTTTATAATCTATTACTTTCCAGCACTTTTGAGCCTGGTGTCCTCAGGATAAACCCACAGCTGGGTTTATCCCCTCCTGCTGCAATTTGGGCTGGGCTTTGCTCTTCCTGTAAACCCAGAGCTGGGATCATCCATCCTCCCCTGGCTCTGAGCTGGAATCTTGGTTGGAATCTTCATTCCCAAGCCCAGCAGCAGGCAGGAAAACCACTCAGAGAAACCCCAACCATCCATGTCAGGGTGGCAGAGCCATGGGAACGAGGAGGAACGAGAGGAGAGGAATTCCTTTGGGAATTGAATTCCTTTGGGAATTGCAGCGGCTTTTGCTGGAGGCAGGAGGTGTCTGACTGGTTCAGGCTCACAAATCCCCCCAGGAAACTTTGGTTTTCCAGTTGTCCACAGGAGCTGGAGAGGAATTCCTGCAGCTCCAGAGCTTTGTGCCTTGGTCCCTCAGCTGGGGGAACGCAGTTCCAGCTCCAGGAGAGGGGTGGAATGTTGGAATATCAAAAGGAAAAGTTCCCTTCAGCTCCAGGAGAGGGGTGGAATGTTGGAATATGGAAAGGAAAAGTTCCCTTCAACTCCAAGGGGGTTTTGTGCACCCCAGAGCTGCTGCTCCTCCCTCCTGGCGTTTGGGAGCACCAGGATGGGCAGGGGAGGCTGGAAAACTGGGAATGTTCCCTGGAGAGAGAGGAGAAGGATCCAGGGAGAGCTTCCAGCACATTCCAGGGCCTGAAGGGGCTCCAGGAGAGCTGCAGAGGGACTGGGGACAAGGATGCAGGGACAGGACACAGGGAATGGCTCCCACTGCCAGAGGGCAGCAATGGATGGGAAATTGGGAATGAGGAATTCCTGGCTGGGCTGGAATTGCCAGAGCAGCTGGGGCTGCCCCTGGATCCCTGGAATGTCCAAGGAAAGGCTGGACATGGGGACAGTGCCCAGTGTCCCTGCCATGGCATGGCTGATCCTTAAATTCCCTTCCCACCCAACCCATTCCATGATTCCACGACAAACCAGCCTGGATTAATCCAACATCCCTCATTCCAGCCCCTTTGGGAAGATTCCTGAAAAAATGCAGGAAAGATCCAAGTTTGGAAAAGGAGATGCAATCCCAGGCACCAAACACAAGGAAAAGCTGATTTTTATCTCTTTATCCATCTGCTCCTGGAAATCTGGGACACAATTCCAGGAATTTTTACACTCAGCAAATTTTTTTTTTTTTTTTCCCAAAGATTCATTGATGCTGCCAGAATCCAGCTGAGCTCCAGCCAGGTGGTGGCTGGAATTTTGTCTTTTCCAGGCTGCTGGAATTTGGTGTTTTCTTTCCCAGGATGCTGGAATTTTCTGTTTCCCGGGATGCTGGAATTTGGTGTTTTCCAGGCTGCTGGAATTTCATGTTTTCCCAATACACTGGAATTTTGTGGCTTTCCTGGGATGCTGGAATTTTGTCTTTTCCAGGACACTGGATTTTTATCTTTTCCCATGATGCTGGAATTTTGTCTTTTCCAGGATCCTAGAATTTTGACTTTTCCCAGGTTGCTGGAACTTTGTGGTTTCCCTGCATGCTGGAATTTTGTCCCTTTCCAAGATGCTGGGAAAACCTTCCCCTTTGGGCTGCAATTCCTGGCAGGGATGGATTATTAATCCATTATTAATGGATTTTTAATTCATTTATATATAATTTATTACCAATTCCAGCCATCTTGATAAGGATATTTCTATATTTTAAGGAGTTTTAGGCCTGAGCAGGGAATATTTTGGATCCCAACTGGCACAGGAGGCAGAGAAGGAGCGGAGTTTTATTTTATTTTTTCTCTTTGTTGCAGGCAATCATCAAATATTTACAGGACCAAGGAATTCTCATCCTGCTCACCTCCTCAGCCTTGGCACGGGAGGATGGTAAGGCCAGGCTGGGGCTGGGCTTAATTCCTGCTGGGGTTTGGGGGCTTAGGGACCTAAACTGAACCTGGTTCCTTAAACTGGACCTGGTTCCTTAAACTGGACCTGGTTCCTTAAACTGGACCTGGTTCCTTAAACTGGACCTGGTTTATTATTTAAACCCTAGTTTCTTATTTAAAACTTGGTTTCTTAAACTGAACCTGGTTTCTCAAACTGAACCTGGTTTGTTATTTAAAACCTAGTTTCTTATTTAAAACCTGGTTTCTTATTTAAAACCTGGTTTCTTAAACTAAACCTGGTTTTTCAGACTATACGTGGTTTCAGAACCCAAACCTGGTTTCTCACACTAAACTTGGTTTCTTAACCTAAACCTGGTTTCTCACACTAAACCTGGTTTCTTAATCTAAACCTGATTTTTCAAACTAAACCTGCTTCCTTAACCAAAACCTGGTTTCTCAAACTGAATGTGTTTTCTTAACCAAATCCGGGTTTCTTATTTTAAACCTGGTTTCTGAACCCAAACTTGGTTTCTCAAAATGAACTTGGTTTCTGAACCCAAACCTGGTTTCTCTAACTAAACCTGTTGTTTTAAACTGAGCCTGGGTACTGAAACTAAACCTAGTTTCTTGAACTAGGCCTGGTTTCTCACACTAAACCTGGTTTCTTAACCTAAACCTGATTTTTCAAACTAAACCTGCTTCCTTAACCAAAACCTGGTTTCTCAAACTGAATGTGTTTTCTTAACCAAATCCGGGTTTCTTATTTAAAACCTGGTTTCTGAACCCAAACCTGGTTTCTCAAACTAAACCTGGTTTCTTGACCTAAACCTGATTTTTCAAACCAAACCTGGTTCCTTAACCAGAACCTGGTTTCTCAAACTGAACGTGGTTTCTTAACAAAAAACAGGTTTGTGAAACTAAAACTGGTTTCTCAGACTATATGTGGTTTCTGAACCCAAACCTGGTTTCTCTAACTAAACCTGTTGTTTTAAACTGAGCCTGGGTACTGAAACTAAACCTAGTTTCTTGAACTAAGCCTGGTTTCTCACACTAAACCTGGTTTCTTAACCTAAACCTGATTTTTCAAACTAAACCTGCTGCCTTAACCAAAACCTGGTTTCTCAAACTGAATGTGTTTTCTTAACCAAATCCGGGTTTCTTATTTAAAACCTGGTTTCTGAACCCAAATCTGGTTTCTCAAAATGAACCTGGTTTCTGAACCCAAACCTGGTTTCTCTAACTAAACCTGTTGTTTTAAACTGAGCCTGGGTACTGAAACTAAACCTAGTTTCTTGAACTAAGCCTGATTTCTGAAACTAAACCTGGTTTCTTAAACTAAGCCTGGTTTCTCAAACTAAACCTGGTTTCTTGACCTAAACCTGATTTTTCAAACCAAACCTGGTTCCTTAACCAGAACCTGGTTTCTCAAACTGAACGTGGTTTCTTAACAAAAACCAGGTTTCTGAAACTAAAACTGGTTTCTCAGACTATATGTGGTTTCTGAACCCAAACCTGGTTTCTCGAACTAAGCCTGTTGTTTTAATCTAAGCCTGGTTTCTCAAACTAAACCTGGTTTCTTGACCTAAACCTGATTTTTCAAACTAAACCTGCTTCCTTAACCAAAACCTGGTTTCTCAAACTGAATGTTTTTTCTTAACCAAATCCAGGTTTCTTATTTAAAACCTGGTTTCTGAACCCAAATCTGGTTTCTCAAAATGAACCTGGTTTCTGAACCCAAACCTGGTTTCTCAAACTAAACCTGTTGCTTTAACCTAAACCTGGTTTCTCAAACTAAGCCTGGTTTCTCAAACTAAACCTGGTTTCTTAACCTAAACCTGGTTTCTCAAACGGAATGTGTTTTCTTAACCAAATCCTGGTTTCTTATTTAAAACCTGGTTTCTGAACCCAAATCTGGTTTCTCAAAATGAACCTGGTTTCTGAACCCAAACCTGGTTTCTCAAACTAAACCCATTGTTTTAAACTAAGCCTGGTTTCTGACCCCAAGCCTGGTTTCTGACCCCAAGCCTGGTTTCTGATCCCAAGCCTGGTTTCTGACCCTGTTTCTGGCAGGCCTGGAGCCCAAGGAGCCCGTCAGCCTGCTGGCCCTGTTCCTGTTCCGCTCGCCCCGGGCCCTGAGCCCCCGAGGTAGGAGCCTCCCTGTGCTGCCCCAGGCTCTGCTTTAGGCTGGACTCCCGAATCTTCTGCTCCAGGCTTGGGATGTTTGGTGGGATCCATCCAGAACAGGTTTGGGATGTTTGGGATGTTTAGTGGGATCCATCTGGAGCAGGTTTGGGATGTTTGGTGGGATCCGTCCAGAGCAGGTTCGGGATGTTTGGTGGGATCCATTCAGAGCAGGTTTGGGATGTTTGGTGGGATCTGTCTGAAACAGGTTTGGGATTTTTGGTGGGATCCATACGGAGCATTTGGACATTTCCCCAAGGCTGAGGTTTTTGCAGGCTGATTTTTGGAGCTTTTTTCCCTTTTCCCTTTTCCCTTTTCCCTTTTCCCTTTCCTTTCCTTTCCTTTCCTTTCCTTTCCTTTCCTTTCCTTTCCTTTCCTTTCCTTTCCTTTCCTTTCCTTTCCTTTCCTTTCCTTTCCTTTCCTTTCCTTTCCTTTCCTTTCCTTTCCTTTCCTTTCCTTTCCTTTCCTTTCCTTTCCTTTCCTTTCCTTTCCTTTCCTTTCCTTTCCTTTCCTTTCCTTTCCTTTCCTTTCCTTTCCTTTCCTTTCCTTTCCTTTCCTTTCCTTTCCTTTCCTTTCCTTTCCTTTCCTTTCCTTTCCTTTCCTTTCCTTTCCTTTCCTTTCCTTTCCTTTCCTTTCCTTTCCCTTTCCCTTTCCCTTTCCCTTTCCTTTCCTCTTTCCTTTCCTCTTTCCTTTTCCTTCCCTTTTCATTCCCTTTCTTCTTTCCTTTTCTTTCTTCCCCTTATCTCCAACGTTTCCCTGCACCAGGGAGATGATTTTGTGAATTCACTCCTTTGCTCACCAGATTCAAAACCATTTTGGTTTTCCTTTCCCAGTGGAAAAGCAGGACCCAAAGGATGGGAAGGCGGGCAGTGCCAGGAATGCCATCTCCCTAAAAATCGCTTCGGTTTTGCCGGGACTCCGCTACGCCCTACGGAAAGCAGCCAGCTCCTCCTGGAATGCCTCAGGCATCCAGGAGCACCTCCAGGAATTTGCAGAACTCCAGGAAAACTCCCAGCCCAGCCCTGGGCAGGGCAGTGACGTTCCCGTTGCTCCTGTCCCCTCTCCCTGCCAGGATGGGGACGCTGACCCTTCCCAAAAGCTCTCGGAGCGATCCCTGGCCCAGCTGCGCCGTTACCTCTGCGACCCCAGCAGCTTCACCCTGGGCATCTCAGCAGCCTTGCAGTGTCTCACTGGGGCTGCCAGGAATCTGGGAGCTGATCCTGGGAATTCCTCCTCCTCCTCAGTGCCCCCAGATCCTGCTTCTCCCACCAGAAAACTGCGGGATACGAGAGAGCATCCCAGTCCCGCTCCGGAGAGAATCCCAAAAAGCATCACCTCTCCCACCAAGCCCTGGGGCCGGGAGCTCAGGAGGAAATCCAGAAGGATCCTCAGGAAGAGTGCGCCACCCCGCAAGGCACAAACCCATCCTGGGGAGAACAACAGCAGGAGCAGGGAGGCAGCCAAGAAAAAAGCCAGCCTCGCTTCCTCTTATCCCAAAAAATCGGGATCCACGGGCAATTCCAACGAGCCCATGCTGAAATTGGCCAATTTGCAGTTGCCACATGGAAGGAAAAGAGGTGGGTGCTGGAAAAATGGGATTGGTTTCCACTTTCCATCCAGCTGGAATGCTCAGGGTTCACTGGGAACCATCCAGGAGTTTTCCAAGTGCATGGAGCATCCAGATAAATCTCAGGACTTATCCCAGGGAAGTTGCCTGAAATTGGGTGCTTCCAGGTCAGATTTTCCTTCTCATTATCCTGATTGAATTGGGAATAAATTAATTATATTCCCAGTTAAATCAGGATAATGAGAAGTAAAATCACCAAAACCTCTTCCCCCATCCCTCCCTCTTCCCAATTAATTTTTATCCCAAAGCATTCCCAGATGAAAATCACCCCCTCCTTTTCCCTGTCCCAGGTGCAGAGGTCCTGGCTGCAGAAATTGTCCACACACCCCAGTGTGAAGGTGCTGAGAAGGAAATCTCAGCTCCTGATGGTCCTGGCATGGAGGCAAAGAGGCCAAAAACCCTGGAAAACCAGGACTCCAAGAAGGTTCCTGCCACAGAGAGTGGCACAAAGCCAGGGAAGAGCAAAATGCAGAAAAACGTGGAAAACAGAGCATCAAAACCTCCGGAGAAGCAGCAGGAAGAGAGCGGTGAGAAAAAATTCCCATGGGAAAAAATTCCTTTCAAAGCTGAGCTGCCCAGTGGCAGGGATGAAATAAACAGCTTTGGATTGAAACTGGGGAAAATGGCAAATACTGGGGAGAAATTCTGGGATGGAATTCCCAGAGAATCCTCCTGGATCCCTGGAAGTGTCCAAGGCCAGGAGCAGCCTGGGATAGTGGGATTGGAATGGGAATTCCGTAAATTCCCTTCCAGCATTCCGTGATCCAGCATTCCCTCGTTGCCTTTGCACCTCCCAGAGTACATCCAGCATCCCTCCCATGGGATGGCTCCTGCTAAATCCCAAAAAAATCCCAAAAAACCACGGAATTTGGCTGTAAGAAACCCCCAGTTCTGTGTCTCACTCCGTAATGGGATGAGCCATAGGATTGGAATGGGATATCCTTAAATTCCTGTGCAGAATTCCGTGATCTGACATTCCCTCGTTGCCTTTGCAGTTCCCAGAGTGCATCCAGCGTCTCTCCCATGGGATGGCTCCTGCTAAATCCAAAAAAATCCCCAAAAAAACCCCAAATTTGTCTGTAAGAAATTCCCAGTTCTGTGTCTCACTCCGTAATGGGATGAGCCATTGGGTTGGGATATCCGTAAATTCCCTTCCAGCATTCCATGATCCAACATTTCCTCATTGCCTTTGGAGCTCCCAGAGTGCATCCAGCATCCCTCCCATGGGATGGCTCCTGCTAAATCCCAAAAAATCCCCCCAAAACCCCCAAATTTGTCTGTAAGAAATTCCCAGTTCTATGTCTCACTCCGTAATGGGATGAGCCATGGGATATCCTTAAATTCCTGTGCAGAATTCCATGATCCGACATTCCCTCGTTGCCTTTGGAGCTCCCAGAGTGCATCCAGCATCCCTCCCATGGGATGGCTCCTGCTAAATCCCAAAAAATCCCAAAAAAACCCCAAATTTGTCTGTAAGAAACCCCCAGTTCTGTGTCTCACTCCATAATGGGATGAGCCATGGGGTTGGAATATTCTTGAATTGCCTTCCAGAATTCCATGATCTGACATTCCCTCGTTGCCTTTGCAGTTCCCAGAGTGCATCCAGCATTTCTCCCATGGGATGGCTCCTGCTAAATCCCAAGAAATCCCCAAAAAAACCCCAAATTTGTCTTAAGAAATTCCCAGTTCTGTGTCTCACTCCGTAATGGGATGAGCCATGGGATTGGAATGGGATATCCTTAAATTCATGTGCAGAATTCCATGATCCGACATTCCCTTGTTGCCTTTGGAGCACCCAGAGTGCATTCAGCATCTCTCCCATGGGATGGCTCCTGCTAAATCCCAAAAAAACCCCCAAAAACCCCAAATTTGGCTGTAAGAAACCCTCAATTTTGTATCTCACTCTGCCCTTCCCAAGGAAATTAAAAAGTCACTCGTGGCCCTTGAGCCCAGCTGGGAATTTCAGGATTTTTTTTCCTGGAAGGGAAGTTTTGGGGCTGGATTTTAGGAGCAGGAATTCACCTGATTCCCTGGCTTCATCCTGGGATTTTAAACCCCCAAAATTGGATATTTCTGAATTATTCCTGAATAAATCTAATTCCCAGCTCTGGGTAATTTCCTGCTATCCATGACATGCATGACCATGGAGTTATTTTTTAAACTGTGGAAAATCCATCTTGGAAAAAAAATTTGACTTTTTCCCTTTTAAGTTGATTTTCCCCGTTTTTAAATGGATTTTTTCCCCTTTTGAAATGGATTTTTCCCATTTGAAATTGATTTTTTTCCCTTTTTAAATGGATTTCCCCCTTTTTCATTGATTTTCCCCTTTTTAAAAGGATTTTTTCCCTTTTAAATTGATTTTTTCCTTTTCTAAATGGATTTTTCCCTTTCTAAATGTATTTTTCCACTTTTTAATTGATTTTCCCCTTTTTAATTGATTTTTCCCTTTTGAAATGGATTTTTTCCCCCTTCTTAAACTGACTTTTCCCCTTTATAATTGATTTTCCCCCTTTTTAAATGGATTTTTTCCCTTTCTAAATGGATATCTCCATGTCTGGATGGATTTTTTCCCTTTAAAGTTGATTTTTTTTCCCTTTTAAAATGGATTTTCCCCTTTTAAATCGATTTTCTCACTTTTAATTGATTTTCTCCTTTTAATTGATTTTTTTTCCTTTGGAAATGGATTTTTCAATTTCTGGATGGATTCTTTCCCTTTTTAATTGATTTCTTTCCCTTTTGAAATTGATTTTTCCTTTTTCAATTGATTTTTTTTCCCTTTTAAATGGATTTTCCCCTTTCTGAATGGATTTTTCCTTTTGTTTCCCGCCAGAGAGGAAGGAGCAGCTCTCGGAGGTCCCGAGTGAAGCCTCATCCCAAACCCCCGGAGCAGAACCTCCAATGAACCTTCATCCCATGGCAATTCCCAGTGGAGCAGAACCTCCAAGGAACCTTCATCCCATGGCAATTCCCAGTGGAGCAGAACCTCCAAGGAACCTTCATCCCATGGCAATTCCCAGTGGAGAAGAACCTCCAAGGAACCTTCATCCCATGGCAATTCCCAGTGGAGCAGAACCTCCAAGGAACCTTCATCCCATGGCCATTCCCAGTGTTCCAGAACCTCCAAGGAACCTTCATCCCATGGCCATTCCCAGCATTGAGGAACCTCCAATGAACCTTCATCCCATGGCAATTCCCAGTGGAGCAGAACTCCCCAGGAATGTTCATCCCATGGCAATTCCCAGTGGAGAAGAACCTCCAAGGAACCTTCATCCCATGGCCATTCCCAGTGGAGAAGAACCTCCAAGGAACCTTCATCCCATGGCAATTCCCAGTGGAGCAGAACCTCCAATGAACCTTCATCCCATGGCAATTCCCAGTGGAGCAGAACTCCCCAGGAATGTTCAGCCAATGGCAATTCCCAGTGGAGCAGAACCTCCAAGGAACCTTCATCCCATGGCCATTCCCAGCCTTGAGGAACCTCCAAGGAACCTTCATCCCATGGCCATTCCAAGCATTACCTTTACCCTGCAAGGGGACAACAGCGACTCCCACGCCCTGAACCTCCTGGCTGACCTGGCCCTGGGCTCCTGCATTCCTGCCTTTATTCCCAAGGATTCTGGGATAATTCCCATGGAATCTGGGGATTCCTGGGAGCAGCAGAGCCCTTCCGACCCCAAATCCCCGCGCGTGCCTCCCGACCACAAATACCACAGGGCGGACAAGCAGGGCAGAAAACCCACCTCCACCTCCAGCAAGTTGGCTCTTCCTGAAGAAATGTATTCCAGCCAGCTGGCCTCTCCTCCCAGGGAAAAAACCTCTGGAATTCTCAGCCAGAGCAGTGGGGCATTCCAGGCGTTCCCTCCCCGCCAAGCTCCGCAATCCCCCGAGGTGAACAAACACTCCATCATCTCAGCCGAGCACTCCTACGCCTCCCCCATGCCCGACGATCCCAAAACGTCCCCAAATCCCAAAGAGAATCCCGGTGCCGGCCCCAGGAGCGCTCCAGCAGCTCCCTTGGTGGGGAAGGTGCTCCCGTTCCGGCACCAGCAGAGCAGCGCCGCCGAGCCCGCCCGCAGCAGCCGCTCTCCCAGGAAAAAGGAGGATTTCTCCAAGAGCCACACGGTCAGGCTCTGTGGGAATTCCATGGAGGTCACCTGCCGTTGGGAAGAGGAATATCTCTTCCACCTGGACAGCAGGTACACCAATGATTCCCTGGAGAAAACCGTCATCCGTGCCCTGCACGGGTAAGTCAGCCTGGGGAGTTTGGGAATGGTGATTGTAGCCCTTTGTTTTCCATAATTGTGGGGTTTGTTCCCCGTGTGGGTGGGGTTTTCTTGGGATAAAGGGTCTTGGGATAAAGGACCTTGGGATAAAGGACCTTGGGATAAAGGACCTTGGGATAAAGGACCTTGGGATAAAGGACCTTGGGATAAAGGGACTTGGGATAAAGGACCTTGGGATAAAGGGACTTGGGATAAAGGACCTTGGGATAAAGGGACTTGGGATAAAGGACCTTGGGATAAAGGGACTTGGGATAAAGGGACTTGGGATAAAGGACCTTGGGATAAAGGGACTTGGGATAAAGGGACTTGGGATAAAGGACCTTGGGGTAAAGGACCTTGGGGTGAAGGACCTTGGGGTAAAGGTTCTTGGGGTAAAGTACCTTGGGATAAAGGACCTTGGGGCAAAGGTTCTTGGGATAAAGGTTCTTGGGATAAAGGGTCTTGGGTTTGGGGCTGGTGGTGAGGGGACAGAGTGGATGTGACCCAGCCTCGTGTGCTGGACCCAAAATTCCGCCCCGTCCTGAGGTGATCCACAGTGTGGGCAGCAGGAAAAGGGGGAATTGGGGAATTTTGCCCCTGTGCTCAGGTGAGACCCCCCCACCTGCAGAGCTGCCCCAGCCCTGAGGACACAGCAGCAGCACCTGGAGCTGCTGGAGAGATTCCAGAGGGATCCATGGAGCTGCTGCAGGGCTGGAGCCAGCCTGGGGGAGCTGGGAATGTTCCCCTGGAGAGGAGAAGGATCCAGGGAGAGCTTCCAGCACATCCCAGGGCCTGAAGGGGCTCCAGGAGAGCTGCAGAGGGACTGGGGACAAGGCCTGCAGGGACAGGACACAGGGAATGGCTCCCACTGCCAGAGGGCAGCCATGGATGGGATCTTGGGAATGAGGAATTCCTGGCTGGGCTGGGATTGCCAGAGCAGCTGGGGCTGCCCCTGGATCCCTGGAATGTCCAAGGAAAGGCTGGACACTGGGGCTGGAGCAGCCTGGGACAGTGGGAGGTGTCCCTGCCATGGCAGGGGTGGCACTGGGTGATCTTTTGATCCCCTTCCCACCCAACCCATTCCATGATTCTGCAATTCCCGTGGCTCTGCAGCTGGAATTGGTACCTAAAGCCACGACCCAGATTTCTTCATCCTTCCTTTGGAGCTCAGATTTTCCTCTATTTTTAATTTTTTCTTACAAAAAGCTGGCATCTGCGTCAAGTAATGGCGTGCCCCTCTGCCTTGTGGCTGAGCTCTGCAGGGAGCCAGGGGTGAATTCCCAGGGGTGAATTCCCAGGGTTGAATGTCCAGGGATGAACATCCAGGGGTGAATTCCCAGGGATGAATTCCCAGGGATGAATTCTCAGGGTTGAACTCCAGGGATGAACGTCCAGGGATGAATTCCCAGGGATGAACGTCCAGGGATGAATTCCAGGGGTGAATTCCCAGGGATGAACGTCCAGGGATGAACGTCCAGGGATGAATTCCCAGGGATGAACTCACAGGGATGAACTCACAGGGATGAACTCCAGGGCTGAATTCCCAGGGATGAACTCCAGGGGTGAATTCCCAGGGATGAACGTCCAGGGATGAATTCTCAGGGATGAACTCCAGGGGTGAATTCCCAGGGATGAACGTCCAGGGATGAACGTCCAGGGATGAACTCACAGGGATGAACTCCAGGGGATGAATTCTCAGGGATGAACTCCAGGGGTGAATTCCCAGGGATGAACGTCCAGGGATGAATTCTCAGGGATGAATTCTCAGGGATGAACTCACAGGGATGAACTCCAGGGCTGAATTCCCAGGGATGAACTCCAGGGCTGAATTCCCAGGGATGAATTCCCAGGGATGAATTCCCAGAGATGAACTCACAGGGATGAACTCCAGGGGTGAATTCCCTGGAGCTGAACTGGGGAGGATGAGGATGGTCCAAACTCTCTTTGCTTCCCTTCCCAGGCCTTGGGATCCTGATCTTCCCGACGATGTGGAAGATGTGAAGCTGATCCTGCACATGTGGGTGGCTCTGTTCTACAGGAAGCCCAGCAAGCTCCTGAGCAGCTCCAGGAAAGTGGTGGAGCACAGCAATCCCAGGAAATTTGTCTCCATCAACAGCTCCGGTGGCTTCCTGGAGCTCAGCGACGACAGCCAGGACTGCTTTGGCTTCGAGACCTGTCCTGCAGACTCCGGCTCCGACCCTGACCAGACTCCCAGCAGCTCCCTGGATCCCAGCACCCCTTCCCAGGGCACTTCCCAGCCCCAGAAAAGCCCCGCGGATTCCCAGACGGACGCGGCCGGAGCTGCCGGAGCCGTGGACAGCACGGTGTCCTCCTCCTCGGGGGAGCTGCCCTGCGGGGATGAGGAGGAGCCTTCCTCCACCAGCTGTCCCGAGAGCCTTTCCCTGCAGGAGGGTTCCAGGGAAGAGCTGGATGGGGCAGGCAGGGAGCCGGAGGTTATTCCCGAGGAGGGCATTCCCGAGGAGGGTGTGCACAACGTCTCCAGCGTCACCGCGGTGAGTCCAGCCTTGGGGGCTCCAAGGAATGTTTTCCTCTTAGAAGAGCAGGATTTGCCTCTCAAAAGAGCAGGATTTTCCTCTCAAAAGAGTAGGATTTTCCTCTCAAAAGAGCAGGATTTTCCTCTCAAAGGGGCTGGATTTTCTTCTTTAAACAGCAGGAGTTTCCTCTCAAAAGAGCAGGATTTTCCTCTTAGAGGAGCAGACTTTTCCTCTTGGGGAAGCAGGATTTTTATCCCTTAAAAGAGCAGGATTTTCCTCTTAAAGGAACAGAATTTTCTTCTTAAAAGAGCAGGGTTTTCCTCTCAGAGGAGCAGGATTTTCATCCCTTAAAAGAGCAGGATTTTCTTCTTAAAAGAGCAAGATTTTCCTTTTAGAGGAGCAGGAGTTTCCTCTTAAAAGAGCAGGAGTTTCCTCTTAGAAGAGCAGGATTTTCCTCTCTAAAGAGCAGGATTTTCTTCTTAAAACAGCAGGAGTTTCCTCTTAGAAGAGCAGGATTTTCCTCTCAAAAGAGCAGGATTTTCTTCTTAAAACAGCAGGAGTTTCCTCTTAAAAGAGCAGGAATCTCCTCTTAGAGGAGCAGACTTTTCCTCTTAGGGAAGCAGGATTTTCATCCCTTAAAAGAGCAGGATTTTCCTCTTAAAGGAACAGAATTTTCTTCTTAAAAGAGCAGGATTTTCCTCTCAGAGGAGCAGGATTTTCATCCCTTAAAAGAGCAGGATTTTCCTCTTAAAAGAGCAGGAGTTTCCTCTTAGAAGAGCAGGATTTTTCTCTTAGAAGAGCAGGATTTTCCTTTTAGAGGAGCAGGAGTTTCCTCTTAAAAGAGTAGGATTTTCCTCTCAAAAGAGCAGGATTTTCTTCTTAAAACAGCAGGAATTTCCTCTTAGAAGAGCAGGATTTTCCTCTCAAAAGAGCAGGATTTTCTTCTCAAAAAAGCAGGAGTTTCCTCTCAAAAGAGCAGGATTTTCCTCTTAGAGGAGCAGACTTTTCCTCTTAGAAGAGCAGGATTTTCCTCTTAGAGGAGCAGACTTTTCCTCTTAGAAGAGCAGACTTTTCCTCTTGGGGAAGCAGGATTTTTATCCCTTAAAAGAGCAGGATTTTCCTCTTAAAGGAACAGAATTTTCTTCTTAAAAGAGCAGGATTTTCCTCTCAGAGGAGCAGGATTTTCATCCCTTAAAAGAGCAGGAGTTTCCTCTTAAAAGAGCAGGAATCTCAGAGGAGCAGAATTTTCCTCTTAAAAGACCAGGATTTTCCTCTTAGAAGAGAATGAGTTTCATCTCTTAAAAGAGCAGGATTTTCCTTTTAGATTAGCAGGATTTTCCTCTTTAAAGAGTAGAATTTTCCTCTTAAAGGAACAGAATTTTCTTCTTAAAAGAGCAGGATTTTCCTCTCAGAGGAGCAGGGTTTTCATCCCTTAAAAGAGCAGGATTTTCCTCTTAAAAGAACAAGATTTTCCTTTTAGAGGAGCAGCAGTTTTCTCTTAAAAGAGCAAGAATCTCCTCTTAGAGGAGCAGAATTTTCCTCTTAGAAGAGAATGAGTTTCATCTCTTAAAAGAGCAGGATTTTCCTTTTAGAGTAGCAGGATTTTCCTCTTAAAAGAGCAGGATTTTCCTTTTAGATTAGCAGGATTTTCCTCTTAAAAGAGTAGAATTTTTCTCTTAAAGGAACAGAATTTTCTTCTTAAAAGAGCAGGATTTTCCTCTCAGAGGAGCAGGATTTTCCTCTTAAAAGAGCAGGATTTTCCTCTTAGAAGAGAATGAGTTTAATCTCTTAAAAGAGCAGAAATTTCCTCTTAGAGGAGCAGAATTTTCCTCTTAAAAGAGTAGAATTTTCCTCTTAAAGGAACAGAATTTTCCTCTTAAAAGAGCAGGATTTTCCTCTCAGAGGAGCAGGATTTTCATCCCTTAGGGGAGCAGGATTTTCCAGAGGAATGGAGCAGCTGTTCTTGTGGGGTATCCAGGGAAGCAGAGATGTTCTCCAAGGGTGAGGTATCCCAAATTAAAGTAATTAAAGTGTCGAGCTCAGTGCCTGTTCCTGATTTAAATTCCAAATTCGTGTGTCCTCGACTGAGGGATCAGGGGAGCCCTCAGCATCCCAGAGCAGAATTCCAAATCCAGCACAGCCATTCCCACGTGGATTTGGAAAGCTGGGATTTGTTGGCTCCGGAGTTTTTCCCCCACCCAGGTGCCAGTGCAGTGCTTTGCATCATTTCCCTCATCCCTCTGGTGAAATCCATGAAAATTCCATTCTGGATAAAGCTTGGAATTGAGTTTTTACACTTTTCTCGGTCAGGAGTGGAGGTTCTTGGGATAAACATAAAACATGGGGGTCTGCTGAGATATTTCCAAGCCTGAATTCTTGAATTAAAATAATTCCTTTAAAGCTTGAACAGAGAAGCGGCTTCCACAGGGCTGGAACAGTTTTGCAGGAAAGAAAAATTATTCCAGTGTTTTTTTTGGGTTTTTTTCTTGCATTTCCTATGAGGAATGTTTTTTTCTTGTTAACCTGTGGATTGTTTTTCAGGAGGAGCCAGCCAAGGAGGAGCTGGTGGATGCCAGGATCACCCCCAGCCCTCCCGAGGAGCTCAGCTGTCCCAGCAAATCCCTGGATGCTCCAGGCACGGAAAACCCCGGGAGCCGAGCCCCGAATTCCAGCACAGCTCCAAGGACAGACCCCCCCTGTGCACCTCAGGAAAAGGGGGAGCAGCAGCAGGAAAACCAGCAGGAAGCAGGCTCAGGGAGTGGCCCTGGCCCTCCCGAGGATGAGGAGGCAATGGGAGGCTCTGGGCATTCCCTGGAAGTCGAGGATGGCGCTGATCCGCAGCCTGCCCGTGATTCCATGGCCTTGGAAGCAGCTCCTGGAAGTGCAGAGCCTGGGGGAGCCACTGAGGAAGGGGAGGAATCCCAGGAGCCCTTGGAGCACTCGGAAAAGGATGAGAGGGAGGTGGAGGAGGAGGAGGAGAAGGAAGAGAACGAGGAGTTGGAGGATGAAAGTCTCTTCGTGGGCCCTGTGGGTTTGGTGCTGTCCGAGAGCAGCGATGCCGAGATGGAATGCGAGCAGAATCCAGGGAATTCTGCATCTCCAGAGGAGTTTGGTGCTCCTGAGGAGGACCTCATGCCCAGCCCCACCTCCCTGGCACCCCCTTGCCCTGACAGATCCTCCCCAGCACCCTCAGATGGGGCTGGGACCGACCCTGGCGGCTTTCCTGAGGAGATGTCACCAAACCAGGAGGAGCTCCCAGATCCCTGGGACGCTCCGGGCACACCGGATTCGGAGATGGACGGGCTTGGAGTGGCCAGTCTGGCCGAGGTGGGGTCACCCCACAGCGACAGCGGGGAGCTGCCAGTCCCCCCTGAGCCCAGCCCTGTCCGTGGGGCACAGCCCGACAGCGTTACCGACAGCCCGGGGGCTGCTGGAGCCACGCTGGGGAACGGCTCGGAGCGCAAAAACCGGGATCGGGCGGCCTCTGGAGAAAGGTGGGAGCCTGCTGGAAGTGCGGGGTCCCCCTGCGGCCAGGGAATGAGCCTGGCCCTGTCCCCCGACTCCAGCTCCGCCTGCCCCACCTCTCCCGATGGCTCCGTGGATCCGTGGGCTGCTCCGGAGGATCAGCCCGTGGAGAGCGCCCAGAGCGACCTGGGACGGAGCAGCTGCTTCTCCCCGCTGGGTGGGGATGCCGCCGATCCCAACCCCAATTCCCTGGATGTTGAGGAGCCAAACCGAGGCGGGAATGGGGTTTTGCTGGAGGAGCAGCAAGGGAGCCCCTCTGGCATCAGCACGGAGGAGCTGGATGATCCCGTGGGAGCAGGAGGTGGTCGTGACTCCTCCTTTGACTCCACAGACGTAGGAGATGACTGCGGAGCTGAGGAGAGTGAGGATGTGTTCCCTGGGGCGGAGAATTCCCCTGGGAATGGCACCACCAACACGGAGATGGCGGAGATCCCTCTCCACCATCGCCTCCTGGAATCAGAGCCCTCCTCCTCCATCAGCTCAGTCATTCAGGAGCTCCCCAGGCAGGAGCACTTCCCAAACATCCACGGGGACTCGGCTCCAGCTTCTCCTGCTGCCGGAGACTCCAACCCTGGCATTCCCACCATGCCTGGCCGGCGCAAGTCGGTGCTGTGCCGCCTCTGGAAGCCGTGCCGGGAGGTGAGCGTGGCCGCCTGGAGCCCGCATGGCTCCTTCCATCCCAGCTGTTCCCGGGAGCCGCTGGAATCTCCAGCTCCCGGCATCCCCGTGGAGGCGGCAGCGGAGGTGGGAGCTGCTCCTCCTTCTCCGTGGGACGATCCGGAGGCTGCGGGGCCGGAGCCAGGCTCGCCCCTCCCTGAGGCGCTCCCCAGGGTGCTCCCTCCCACTCCGGGCAGTGCCCAGTGGGCCGGGAGCCGTGGTAGCCCCGGGAGCAGCCCCAGGAGCCAGGGTAGCCCCAGGAGCAGCCCCGGGAGCCAGGGTAGCCCCAGGAATTGTGTCAGCCCCAGGAGCTATGGTAGCCCCAGGAGCTATGGTAGCCCCAGGAATTGTGGCAGCCCCAGGAGCCGTGGTAGCCCTGGGAGTGTTGGCAGCCCCTGGATCCATGGCAGTCCCAGAAGCTATGGTAGCCCCAGAAACCATATTAGCCCTGGGATCCGTGGCAGTCCTGGGAGGTATGGTAGCCCTGGGAGTGGTGGTAGCCCCAGGAGCCATGGTAGCCCTGGGAGCCATGGTAGCCCTATGGGCCGTGGTAGCCCCAGGAGCTGTGGCAGCCCCATGGGCTGTGGTAGCCCCAGGAGCCAGGGTAGCCCGAGGAGCAGCCCCAGGAGCCTTGGTAGTCCCAGGATCCATGGCAGTCCCAGAAGCTATGGTAGCCCCAGAAACTGTGGCAGCCCTGGGAGGTTTGGTAGCCCTGGGAGTGGTGGTAGCCCCAGGAGCTGTGGTAGCCCCAGGAACCATGGTAGCCCCAGGAGCTCTGGCAGTCCCAGGAGCTGTGGTAGCCCCAGGAGCCTTGGTAGCCCCAGGAGCCTTGGTAGCCCCAGGAGCCGTGGTAGCCCCATGGGCCGTGGTAGCCCCATGGGCTGTGGCAGTCCCAGGAGCCATGGTAGCCCCAGGAGCCATGGTAGCCCCAGGAGCCAGGCAGGGGATGCCGGAGGGAGCCCCGGGGAGGAGCCCTTCCCGCTGGAAGACCCGGAAGGAGGCAGCATTCCCAGCCCTGCACCTTTCCCAGCCTGGGAGTGCGCCCTGGGCGAGCCCTGGGACGTGTGTGAGCACAGCCCTGAGGGATCCCCGGCGTTCCCCGATCCCGACTGCGCCAGCACCGAGGTGGGACAGGGAGAGATTCCCGCTTCTCCTGTCCCGTGGGACGAGCCCAGGGATCTCTCTGGAGAAAACCTGGAGTTCGGCGATGCTGAGGATATTTCGGATCTGCTCCCAACGGAAGAGCAGCTCCCAAGCCTAGACACACACCAGGACTTGGCCTTTGAAGATCCATTGGGGAATTCCTTTGGTGGCTCAGACCAGGAATATTTTGAGGGGAATTCTCACTCCCCTCTTCCCAGCACCTGCATCATGAGATCCGTGGATGCTGCAGGAGCAAGGACTCCCCGGGACAGCTCCTCCAGGAGCTCCGTGCACACGGAGGAGCGCGGGGAGCCCTGGGACTGGGACGTGCCCGGGGATTACAGGAGCTTTGTGGTCACCAGGCAGTGCCAGGAGAGAGTGGAACAATTCCAACTTCCCAGGAGGCACAGCCGCCGCGCCCAGGAATCTCACCTGGCGCGCGCCCTGATGGGGACCTGGAGGGACTTCGAGGAGATCACCCAGAACACTTTGGACATGGAGTGTCTCCGCTTCCACTATAAGCTAAAAGAAATCCTAAGGAAGGGCAGACCGCCCTTTTCTACCTCCAAAAGCATCTTCCCGACGGCCTTCTCCCCGCTGTCCCCGCGCAGCAGGAGCCCCTTGCAGGTGACCATTCCCCCCTGGGACGCGTGGGACGCCGGGAGAGGCCGGTGCCGGGCCAGGAGCCAGGAGCGCAGGGCTCCGGCACACCTGAGCAAGCTGCGGTACGAGTGCGCCCCGCCGGAGCCCCGCGGGGCCGTGGCCGACATCCTGGAGGAGTATTCCGAGTTCCAGAGGCTGCTGCTGGCCAGGAGCGATGCCGGGAGCGCCGGGGCAGTGCCGGGAGAGCCGGGGGTTGGCCGGGCTGGGGCGATCCGGGACGCGGCGGCGGAGCTGCGCGGGGCCCTGCGCTGCCACCTGCGCCGCGTGGCCGCCGGCGCGCGGCCCGGGATGTTCTACCTGCTGGAGACCGGGCAGGAGCCCTTCTTCGACAGGGCCAAGGTGGGAGCTGCTCCTGGATTGGGGATGGATGGGGTGGATGGGGTGGATGGGGATAGATTGGGGTGGATGGGGATGGATTGGAATGGATTGGGGTGGTTGGGGATGAATTGAGATGGATGGGGATGCACTGAGGTGGATTTGGATGCATTGGGATGAACTGGGATGGATTGGGGTGGATTGGAATGGATTGGGATGGATTTGAATGCATTGGGATGACCTGGGATGGATGGGGATGGATTGAGATGAACTGGGGTGGATGGGGATGGATTGGGATGGATGGGGATGGATTGGGATGGATGGGGATGGATTGAGATGGATGGGGATGCATTGAGGTGGATTTGAATGCATTGGGATGACCTGGGATGGATGGGGATGGATTGAGATGAACTGGGGTGGATGGGGATGGATTGGGATGGATTGGGATGGATTTGAATGCATTGGGATGACCTGGGATGGATGGGGATGGATTGAGATGAACTGGGGTGGATGGGGATGGATTGGGGTGGATTTGGATGCATTGGGATGGATTGGAATGGATTGGGGTGGATGGGGATGAATTGAGATGGATGGGGATGGATTGAGATGGATGGGGATGCATTGAGGTGGATTTGGATGCATTGGGATGAACTGGGGTGGATGGGGATGGATTGGGGTGGATTGGAATGGATTGGGATGGATTTGAATGCATTGGGATGAACTTGGATGGATGGGGATGGATTGGGGTGGATTGGAATGCATTGGGATGGATTTGAATGCATTGGGATGAACTGGGATGGATTGGGATGAATGGGGATGCATTGAGGTGGATTTGAATGCATTGGGATGAATTGAGGTGGATTTGAATGCATTGGGATGAACTGGGATGGATGGGGGTGGATTGGGATGGATTGGAATGGATTGGGATGGATTTGAATGCATTGGGATGGATTGGAATAGTTTGGGGTGGATGGGGATGAATTGGCATGGATGGGGATGCACTGAGGTGGATTTGAATGGATTGGGATGGATGGGGATGGATGGGGATGGATTGGGATGCATTGGGGTGGATGGGGATGGATCTGAATGGATCAGGATGGATTGGATGGATGGTTATGGATTGGGATGAGTGGCTCCAGGGCAGAGCTGAGGGTGGCAGGAGCAGGGAAGCTTGGGCAACCTGACAGGGATGGTTTGGGAGCCAGGAGCCACCTTGGCTCCCAGCAGCAGGACTTGGAATCCCAGGAGCATTGGGATTGAGTCACTGGAGAATCATGGAATGGTTTGGCTGGGAAGGACCTTAAGGATCATCCAATTCCAACCCCATGGCAGGGTTCCATGAATTCCATGAATTCCAACCTCCCCCTGTCCCAGGGTGCTCCAAGCTCCTTCCAGCCTGGCCTTGGACATTCCAGGGATCCAGGGGCAGCCCCAGCTGCTCTGGCAAGTCCAGCCCAGCCAGGAATTCCTCATTCCCAATATCCCACCTAAATCTAATTGAAGTCCAACCATTCCCAGCACTGCCAAGGCCGCCGTGTCCCCAAGTGCCACATCCGTGTGACTTTTAGATCCCTGCAGCGCTGGGGACTCCCCATTGCCCTGGGCAGCTCATTCCCCTTCCTCTGCCCGTGTTCCCAGGGAAACATTCCCCATCCGTGCCCTGTCTGTGTTCCAGGCCCTGCTGAAGGCTCAGGGGTTTGTGAGGACGGAGCCCCCGAATTTCCGCGGGCACCGGGGCGGCGAGCGGCTGCTGGTGATCATCAGGAACGAGGACATCGCCTCCCACATCCACACGGTGAGCCTGAGCCCCTCTGCTCCTCCTCTCTGCTCCAGGCTTTAATCCCAGGATCCATCAGAAACTCTGGAGCAGCCCAGCTCAGAGCACTGAGGTTGGGCTTCCCTGAGAATATTGGGATGCTGCAGGGCCGGGCTGCTGTTCCCAAATCCCTGTTCCCCGAGCAGGTGCCGTGCCTGCTGGAGCTGAAGCGCTGTCCCAGCGTGGTGTTCGCCGGCGTGGACGACCCCGAGGAGGTGACGGCTGACACCTTCCAGGAGCTCTTCCAGGCTGGAGGATTCGTGGTGTCTGACGAGGAGCTGCTGGAAAGGGTGACCTTGGGTGAGTCTCAGGGACACGTTCCCAAACCTTCCCCTTGGTTCTGTTTCCCCTGTCGCTGACATTTGGATCCCATGGGGACGGAGCGCCCAGCTCGGGGGTCCCCAGAACATCCCAGGATGTTCCCAGGGTTGTCCCAGGATGTTTGTTCGGCCTGGAGACTCGTGGAATGGTTTAGGTTGGAAGAGACCTTAGGATTAACAAATTCCATGGGCAGGGACACCTCCCACTATCCCAGGCTGCTCCAAGCCTGGCCTTGGACACTGCCAGGGATCCAGGGGCAGCCACAGCTGGAATTCCATCCCTTCCCACTATCCAGTGGAAAAAGGAGAGGAACTTGCTGCTGCCTTCAGCTCCTTAGTGGGAAGTGGCCGAGAAAACAGAGCCACCTTTTCTGGGAGCTGCTCAGTGAGGAAAGCTGCACTTACTCTTTTGGATATCAGGGAAAATCCACACCAGGACATGATCCCAGTTCCCCATCCTGTGCAGTGCGAGTCTCCGTCCTTGCAGAGACTCAGAGCTCCCCTGGACAAAGCCCTGAGCACCCTCAGGTGGCCCCACTTGGAGCAGGGCTGGGCCCAGAGACCCCCAGGCCCCCTCCCCACCCAGCTCTGGTGTCCCCTCAGGCCAGCTGAAGGAGGTGGTGAAGGTGCTGGAGCAGCTGAACAGGAGCGGGAGGTGGAAGTGGCTCCTGCACCACAGGGAGAGCAAGAAGCTCAGAGGAGACCTCAGGTAACGGCTCTGCCTGGGAAATTGGGGACTTTTGGGATGGAGCAGCAGGATTTGGGACCTGGAGAGCATGGATGGGCTGGAACGTTGTCCTGGATGTGATCCTGGATCAGGCAGAGCTCTGGCAGCTCTCCCTGCTGGGCTTCCATAAGGCTCTTCCCTGGCTCCTTGGCAGAGATGCCCTCAGGGGGTGTTGCAGGCTCCTGGAGAGGCACAGATTTCCTTTGAGGAGCTGCACATTCCCGAAACTCCCAAAGCAAAATTCCCTCCCTTCCCACCAGCTCTTCCCAGCTCCTGGCACACCCCCTGGAGCTCCGGGCACCTTCCCGGGGCTCTGCCCCCTCTGATCCTTCTTGTGCTCCACCACATTTGGGATTTGGGGGTGCAGAGAAGGAATTGCCACCCCAGTTCCCACCAGGAATGGTTGAAGATGGAGCTGCTCTGCTGTGGCCTCATCCATGGGTGAAGCGAGGAAAGTCCTGGGTTGGGATAAAGAAGTTTAACAGGGAAAGGAAAAGCTGGGAAAACCAAGAATTAACCCCCATTTCCCATCACAGGAGAGCCAGGCTCCATCATCACCACCTCTCCCAACATCCCATCTTCCTCCTTCTCCCAGCTTTATGTCCTGAGCGTGATTGCAGGGTCTGGAGCATCCCCTGGGACAGTGGCAGTCGCCTGTCCTGGCCTTGTGCCCCCCAGGTCCTGTGGGCTGAGCGAGGAGCAGCCGTGGCTTTCCCAAACCCTGCTCCAGCACAACAAAACATCCCTGACCTACCCACAGCTCCCAGCACAAACCCCTGAAGCAGCTCCTGAGGTGAAAACGAACCAACCCCAGCCAAAACCAGCACAGGCAGTCCTGGAGCGAGGGAGAATTTGTCACTTTGCATCCAAAAACCACCTGGAAAGGCAGATCCCGTCCTCCCTGCTCATTCCCTGGGGAGGGGGGTGCAGAGGGAGGAAGCCCCTGAGCCCTGCCTGCCCCTCTCTCAGCAGGGACGATGGCAGTGCCCAGAAGAAGCAGCTGCTGCTGCGGTGGTGCCAGGGGGCAGAGCTGCTGGAGCCGCTGCCCTTCCACGGCTGCGACGCCGCTGCCGAGGGCCGGCGCGCGCAGTGCCTGCTGCAGCTGCAGGCGCAGCACGTCCGCGCCAGGTTCGCCGTGTACCTCACAGGTAAAGGCAGCCCAGAGCCCTGCAGGGCTGAAACTGCCCCGGGAAGGGATGGAGGAGGGATAGGAAATCCCCGTTTTCCTGCGGGAATCGCTGCTTCGAGGTGCCAGGCAGGTGAAAAGGAATTCTGGATTTTTGGAGGTTGATGGAGTTCAGAGGTTTTTGGGTGGCTGAGGCTGTTGGTAAACATCAGGGCAACCACGGTGGGATTTAGGGATATTTCCCACAGGTTTAGAAACAACCCTGTTTGTTGGAATTAACGGAGCTACTGCTCCTCCCCTTGCAGAAAATCCCAGCAGCAGCAGCAGGGAGATCCTGGAAAACAAAGGAATTCTTGTGGCTGACATCAACACCTTCCTCAGCACGGTGCAGAAAGTGGCTGCTCCCTTCAGAAGATGCTACTGGTAAGAAGGGAAAGCTTGGGATTGACCCCAAAAAGCTGGGAACAGCTGTGGGATGGCCAGCAGGGAGCTGGGATCCTACAGCAGAGCAGGGACCATCCCAAAGTGCTGGATCTGGGATCTGCCAGCACTCAGAGCTGGATCCAGGAGAGGATTGGCACTGCTGGGAAATGGGAACAGCTCCAGGCCTGGCCCTGGGAGGCTCTGCAGGAGGAGTCACTGACCTGGGCCGTGTCTCTGTGTTGCAGGTGACGGAGCGAGGCCACGAGGCCACGAGGATGCGGCTCCTCCCCAGGCCCTGCGGCACCGGTTTGGGCACCCCGGGCCCGTGGGGGACATCCCCCCATCCATCCCAGTCACTCCCAGTGGATCCCAGTGATCCCCGTGGATCCCCACCGTCCATCCCAGTCAACCTCATCAATCCCAGTGGATCCCCACCATCCATCCCAGTCAATCTCATCAATCCCAGTGGATCCCAGTGGATCCCCACCATCCATCCCAGTCAACCTCATCAATCCCAGTGGATCCCAGTTATCCCTGTGGATCCCCACTGTCCATCCCAGTCAATCTCATCAATCCCAGTGGATCCCCACCATCCATCCCAGTCAATCTCATCAATCCCAGTGGATCCCAGTGGATCTGAGTTATCCCAGTGGATCCCCACCATCCATCCCAGTCAATCTCATCAATCCCAGTGGATCTCAGCTATCCCAGTGGATCCCCACCATCCATCCCAGTCAATCTCATCAATCCCAGTGGATCCCCACCATCCATCCCAGTCAATCTCATCAATCCCAGTGGATCCCAGTTATCCCCGTGGATCCCCACCATCCATCCCAGTCAACCTCATCACTCCCAGTGGATCCCAGTGGATCCCCACCATCCATCCCAGTCAAGCTCATCAGTCCCAGTGGATCCCAATTATCCCAGTGGATACCCACCATCTATTCCAATCAATCCCAGTGGATCCCAGTGGATCCTGGCTGCTGCTGGGGCTGGGGGAAAGTCGTTTTTAGCTCTGTACATAAAGCTTATTTAAAGGTGGGGAATGCAAATCCTCGAGGGATTCATTCCCTGCCCTCCAGTCTGATATAGGAAAGGTTCTTTTAACGGTACAACTAAATTATTGGAGCGGTTTCAGGTACTTCCATGCAGGCAAACGAGTTTCCCGAAGTCTACTTGAAGAATAGGAACGAGAACAAATCCCTTTTCCGCGTGGTCGTTGCTGTTCAGGCCCACACTACATTTCACCTCAGCCCCGCTGCCTCCTGCTGACAGCAGGGAGCCGGGATGCAGGAACAAAATAAATAAGCTCTTATTTATGGGGGAAACGCCGGGACAGGGGCGTCCTTTTAGTTGGTTTTTAAATCCAAGACTCCAAGGCCGTTCTGTACAGGATGACTTTGTAAAGAGTTTGATTAATAAAACCTCCAAAATAACGAAGTTTCACACAGCTCTGCGTTCTGGAGAGGAGATCCTGCTCAGCATCCAGCCTTTTCCAACAGGGAGAAGGGAGGGCAGGGGATTTTCCAGCTGGGAAGCAGCAAGGAATGAGCAAGAGCGTGGTGGGCTCCTGGATGATGGATCCTATCGTGCTTCCCTGCAGGAAGGATGGAATAACCAGAGGAATAAACAGGTTACAGCAGGTAGGGATCATGGGATCGCACAGAGGGAGCATCCCCAGCCCCACTCCCAGCAGCTGAGGGTGGGAAGGGTTCGTGTGAGTGGAAGCTCGGGAATTGTTCCTGGAAGTGGCACTTGGGGAGGAGGAAGTGCCGAGAGCCCCGGCTGGGCTTTGGGACCACCACAGGATCAAAGCCCTGTTCCTGTGCCACCCTGGAGAGCTGCTCCCAGGCTTTTCCACAGTTCTCCTGGCACTTGGCAGGGTAGTGCCAGCCAGGGAATGGGGAAGGATGGCTCTGGAGGGAACAGCTGGCATCGAGGATGGAGAGCAGCCCGAGCCACACCTGCCCTGCCAAACACAGCCAGAGCAGCACAGCCTGGAAAGAGCCACAGAACCAGGAAATGCTTTCCAGCAGGAAACTCCTTCCTGCAGGAAATGCTCCCCTCTCACCCCTGGCACACAGAGACGCTGCAGGATCTCAGCCTGGAGCTGCTGCTCCCAGAGCTGAAGTGAATCAGACCAGAGGCCAGGACTGGTTTCCAGAATTTGGCTTTACTTCGCAGTACAGAAATCATTTGGAGCCTTCAGGAGACACGAGAAGCACAGGCTCTGTCATGCCGATACCGCAGCGCCGTTTGGTCCATCCGAGAAGCCACCGGGGGACAGAAAATACTTCCACATCTTGCCTGCTCTGTAATTTGTTCTCTCAATTTTATTAAGATTAAAACACAAAGGAGCCTGAGGCACAGCTGTGTCCCAACCGATGTAAACGGGTTTAGAAGCTTAAGTGGAGGTTAAGTTCTGTGCCCAGAACGAAGCCAACATTTGCTGCTACAATAGGTGTGGGCTTTGTCCATGATACAACTTTGCCACAGAGTTAAGATTGATGGGAGAGACTTTTAGGGATGCTGTCCACAATAATGGAGTGCTCAGTTTCTATTTTCCTTGATATCAGGTTTGAGTGACATCAGCGTCACATCTACGAGCTCACCAGAAGCACAGGATTGTGAAGGATGTTTTACAAATGATTAAAAAGACAAGGTAAGACACAGCTGTCAATGAGTTATTTCAAATCTGCACCCACGTCTACGTCTGCCTTTCGCTTACGAGGTTAGTCAGGAATATCAGTCAGGAATTTGCCAGATTCTGGACAGCAGCCCTACTAGAATGAAATAATTAACACATGATATCCAAAAAGGGAACATTACCAGTGCAGTACTCTTCAATCTCTCAGAGATGGGATTACAAAAGCAGGCCTTACAATATTGAATTTCGTACAGTGTTCATTAAGTTCCTTATATATTCATATTAGCCGATTTAAACTTCTCCTAATTAGAGACTCTCATTACTGCTGCTCCTCCTCCCCGTAAATGTCGTTCTTCTTGCGTTTCATCTCCTCAAAGTCGAACTCTGATCCCATCATCCTCTTATAAATATCTTTGATGTCGTCGCACGTCGTCTCGAAGTGGGTGGTGGCGTCGTAGGTGCGCGAGATGAAGATCTGGAAGCAGAGGCAGCGTTGGAGCCCCGAGCTGGAGCCTGTCCCCTCCCAGCCCGGCTCAGCCCCCACTCACCTGGCTCTCGGTGCCGGGGTCGGTCGGTGCAAACAGGTCACTGATGCTCACGAACCTGCAGCAGGGAGAAAACGCCTTGGGTTGGTTTGGAAAAGGATTCTTTCAGAGCAGGGATGGTTCAGTGCAAGGTGCTGAGCAAATTCAACAGCTCTTGGCAGCCTCCAGCTGTCCCAGCAGAGGAGGACAGGGGCTGCCTGAGGACTCACTTCTGCTCAATGGGCTCCAAGAGGTCCAAGGCTGGCTTGATCTCCTTCTCCGGGTCCGCGGTCTCCACGGTGGTGCTGGCGATGGCGATGTACTTGCCCTGCGCCGCCACGTTGTGAGCAGAGGAGATCATGCACACGTAGATATCTGGGGGGACAGGGCACAGCTGCAGCCCAAAACCTCCTCAGCCTCATCCCAAAACCTTCTCCAGCCTCATCCCAAAACCCTCCTCAGCCTCATCCCAAAACCTTCTCCAGCTTCATCCCAAAACTTTCTCCAGATTCATCCCTAAAACCTCTTCAGCCTCATCCCAAAACCTCCTCAGCCTCATCACAAAACCTCCAGACTTATCCCAAAACCCTCCTCAGCCTCATCCCAAAACCTTCTCCAGCCTCATCCCAAAACTTTCTCCAGATTAATCCCAAAAACCTCTTCAGCCTCATCCCAGAACCTCCTCAGCCTCATCCCAAAAACCTCCTCAGCCTCATCCCAAAACCTCCAGACTCATGCCAAAAACCTCTTCAGCCTCATCCCAAAAATTTCTTCAGCCTCATCCCAAAACCTTCTCCAGACTCACCCCAAAAAACTCCTCAGCCTCATCCCAAAACCTCCAGACTCATGCCAAAAAACTCCTCAGCCTCATCCCAAAACACTGCCCACGTCTCTTCCCACTGCCCTGACATTTGGCACCCCCTGGATGGTTTAGAGACCCTGCAGCGAGTCCCATCCTTGCCCTACATGCTCTCACCTCCTCGTTGAGCATGGGAGATCCCCAAAATTCAGTTTCCCTTGATGACTCCCAAAATCTGGTGGGATTCCCAGCGCTCTGTTCCAGGCCGAGGCAGCCCCTCCCCCAGTTCTCCCAGTCTGGGGCGCATCCTGAGGCAGGATCCCGAGGCAGGATCCCAAGGCAGGATCCTCTCAAGGTTTCCAACCACAGGTTCCTCCCACCTCTCCTAAGTGCTCTGAACCGCAGCTCAGCCCCGCTGGGCCCTATGAGCCCCTGGAGCAGGGCATGAGGTGTCCATGGCGGCGGGTGAGCCTCACCTCAGGCGCAGACAGTGCCCTGCCTCACCCAGCTGCTGAGGCTGCCCTGCACACACCTGATTTCCGGTTGACCTGGTTCTGTGGAATGATGATCTGGCACGAGTTGGCATCATTTGTGTTCTTGATGGGGTGGCTCAGGATGCAGATGACCCGGATCACCTGGCCCACCTTCGTCACGCGGTCCGACACGTAGCTGGGGTCGCAGATGAGCTGTTTGCAGCGAGCCACCTGAGCACCAACGTGGAAACGTCACCCAGGGCACATCAGGAATGTTTTTTCCAGTCATGATTTACAATTTATCAATCTGAAGCCTCCAGGCTGCACACACTTTGGTCTCTAACATGGATTGACACCTCTGCTCCCTGCCAGGACACGTCATTCCCACCCCAAGGGACACGTTATCCCAGCAGCAAGTGCCCGCTCCAGTCAGGAGCACGCTCAGAGCTCCCAAGCTGGCAGCATTCCCAGTTCTATCCAGCCAGGTGGAGGAGAAGCTGCAGGAAGGCCACGTGTCAGCTGTCAGAGCAGCTGAGAGAGCCAAGGGCAGAGCTGGTTCCGAGTTGGACACAGGGAACTTCCTGAGTTATTCACTGCCAGCCCATGGAGACTTCCTCCCAACTCCTGGAGCAGGGATGCTGAGGACTCTGGCTGTCAGGACACTCACTGTCTTCAGCAAGCTGGCACAGGGACAACAGCACCAGCCCAGCATGTTTGGCCCCTGGGCTTAGAAAAGGGTTTTCTCTGTGTTTGTTGTGATCAAACCCAAAAGATGTGAGCTCTGAGGGGCAGATGTGGGGCGGGGAGCAGGGAAGGGTCCGTACCTCCCCCTCGGACTTGACCCCGACCACTTTGCCGTTCTCTATGACGATCTCCTCGATGGGCTTGTTGAGCATGTAGGTGCCTCCATAGATTGCACTGAGCCTGCAACAGGAAAATCCTGTCAGCACCTCCAGGGCTGCACCTGAACAGCCCTTCCAGCCCCCAGGGTCTGCTCCTCTTGCATAAACCCTCCTCAAAATCCCCTGCTTAAACACAAGGGATAAATACTCTGCCAACAGGATCTCTCAGCACATCCCGAGGTGAACAAGCCCACAAAGAAAGAATCTCACATGGAGGAACCTCCTCCGAATTAAGTGAAGAACCATGAAGGATCATAGTATTTGATGCAGCATCACATTCTGGAAGCTCAAGCAGTGACTCCACACATCCACCTCCACACCCCACTGGAGGAAACACGGAGTGAATGCCAGGTGCTCACCTTGCAAATCCCTGGGGCAGCTCTCCAAGGCCATAGAGGGGGTACAGGTAGGGGCTCTTCCCGTATCGAGCCAGTGACTCGCTGTACAGCTTAATCCTGTTGATTGTTTCTTGGCAGGGTTGATCTAGATAGCTGGGAAGGACAGTTACACCAGTTGGGATGTGTCCCAAACCAGCACTTCCAGCAGAATATTCAGGAAACAAAACACTGACTTCCCACAATGTTTCCTTCCCCACCCTCCAGCTGCTGCTGGCAGTGCTTCCCTGAGAGTTCCCTTTAAGGAGCACTCAGTAGCACAAGTTTTACTAAGGAACCCTCCAAGTTTAAAATAACGGATCAATCCCACCAGAACCCCAAATCCTGGGATTTGAGGGAGCTACTGACCACCCCCACTTACTCATCAGTCCTGTAGAGAGCGAGGGCATGGCCTGTGAAGTCAATGACATCTTGGCCCAGGTCAAACTTCTTGTACACATCCCTCATGGTGGTTTTCTTGGGATCCACGCCCTCGAAGGTCCGCGGGTCGTTCTCGTCAAAGCTGGCCACGTACACCAGGAATTTCCTGAACCGGCGCTTCTCAAACAAACCCATTAAACCTGAAACCAGGGGTTTGTGAGAATTCACAACCAGGGCTTTGGCATTACTCAGATCCTCAGACTTGTGTGGCTTTTCCATTATCAGCACTGGGTAAGAACCTCTGAGTGTTCAAACAAGGAATGGTTTGGCTTGGAA